ATTTTTGAGAAATTTTCACCAGAAGCAGACCACCCCTAAAATGTAGAAAATGTCCCTGTCCAGAAAAGTAGCCATTTCGAAAAACCATCGCTATGCAAAATGGCTCAAATAGTGCCACTTTCGGACCCAATTGCATCCAAATTGCTCAGAATTGGAAGCCCTGAGTCCGGCCCAGAGGTTCAGTCTCATATTTCGTCAAGTCCCCAGTTCTATAGCTCTCAGGACCCTCTAATATAGAATATTTTGAGTCTTTAACTTTTATTAATGAGCTCGGCGGACATATTTCTGGCCTAAATACGAGGGTGCACCCTTTAATCCCCACGTGGAATCCCATTTAGTCAGCCTTCGCCCATTTGCTACTTCGCCCGTTTGCGACTGCACCCATTTCATTTTGCAGCTTGGACTGCACCACACCGACTTAGACATAGCCAACGATTTCAAGGGGAGGGGGGTAATTTTCGAGTCATTGGCGGTGGACATGGTGGAAGAGAGGGGGCATGACCCCTACTCTTTTGACTGGGGGGGGGCCTGGCCCCCAACATGTTTTGTAGGTCCTATAATTGGGTGTGGCTCAATGGATCGAGCCTTAATGATTGATGCCCAATGGTCTAACAACTCTCCCCCTCACTATGAAAATTGTTCCGTCGGTGTTTCGAGTGACTGGGTATTCTGCAATTACTCCGAAAAAAAAAAACATTGAAAACACTAACAATTAACTTTGACTATACTTTTCACAATAAAATACATGCTTCACAAAACGTGAGGGGATAAAAAGAAGCGCGCCCGATGTGGGGCTCGAACCCACGACCCTGGGATTAAGAGTCCCATGCTCTACCGACTGAGCTAACCGGGCTTGTCGAGAAAGCTGCTCTAATAGACGTTATTTAATAAATATTAAACTATTTTCCAAAAGTGTTGCAAGTCAATTTATGCTTTTGTATATTTTTTGTGAAGTGATATCATAATTTTTTTGTTTTTTAAGTTTCTCATTTTTGTTGGTTAATCTAAATGCAATTCCCCTTTCAGATACATGTAATCGACCACCAGTTCACTGGTTAACGAATTTTTTTTTCAAGAGGAGAGGCATGTCTACCAGTGGTATTTAGCTCCATTGATTTTTAGAAAGGGATAGCGAATTTTTACGTGCACATGCGTTGATCGACCTCGATGTGTACACACGTCGTTCCATGCGGATGCATTCATATGAAACACGTACAGTTCGCCGAAAGGTGACCCGGAAACTGTTTGTGCCACGTTGATGAGGTTTTACGAACTTTGTGGTCAGGTACGGGGTGGTGAGCCAAAGTTGGCTGTCGTCGTCTTGCAATTCATGTTGTGGCTGAAATTTGTCGATTACGGCGTCGGGAAAACTGCGTACTAATCGTTGTAAATGTAAGTAAAGCGATTGGGGAGTCAGGTTGGCCTAATGCCTAGTGTTCTTTCCTCCACTACCCCCACCCCTTCAGTGGGAGCGGGGCGGCGGACGTCGGGCCGGCCCTGCAGTTCTGTATATGTACTTCGAGAACTCGAAATCACTCCGTGTCTCGCAGAGTATCACAGAGTTACTGACCCACACGGAGTATCACAGAGTTAGTGACTTCGAGTTCTCAAAGTAGCAGTTCTGGGGGTAGCTAGTCTAGGTGCTAGACGTTGTTATTGATTGGATGCGCGATAATCCCTACACACGATCCGCTAGCCGACTAGCCACGCATGCACACACAACTTGACTTCGATAACAACGTCTAGGTTATCTCCAAATTTTTTCCCCCGAAAATGGGGGGGACGTGCACGACAATTTGTTTTTCACGCACGCGCACACGCACCATAAAATTGTACAATACCCTTGTAGCTGCCTAGTTACACTACTGGCAGGAAGTTTTCGACTTGTTTATACACTCCAGCTCTGTTGCAATTTTGCGCAAAATAATGCTGGTGGAGCAGCTAGTAGGCACGGCAGTTGGTGTAGTACATGTACTGTACATGTACACAGTACTGTACCATGCACTATGATTCAATATCTGTGTACTGTACGTGCATGTCGTGCAGCGCGGTAAGTCCGGGGATTGGGCATGAATATGCAAAGTTTGAATAATTATGCAAGATATACAGCATTATCATTAGGCAGTAGGTGCGCGCGCATAAGGAAAATATTCGGAGATCACCAAGACGTTGTTGTCAAAGTGAAGTCCGATGTGCATGCGTATGCATGCGTGGCTTGCGGATCGTGGGTAGGGATTATCGCGCATCCAAAAGATAACAACGTCTAGCACCTAGACTGGGGGGTAGCCTTCTAGCTAGCCCCACAAATAGGGCTGTAGTGGCTCTCTTTTACAATCTGTCTCTTATCTGTGGTGGCGACAGACAAGAGACAGATTGTAAAAGAGAGCCACTACAGCCCTATTTGTCGGGCTAGCCTTCTGCCATGTCCACCTTTGCAGTCCAGATTTGATTCCTGGCTTGGTCCACATGTGGGATGGGTTTTCAATCCCTACCTGATTCCCTGGGTTTTACCCAGAATATATTCCTCTGGGGTTTTGCTCCCACCTCTCAATCTATTTCTTAGACTTATTGTCTCCTCTCTAGGGCCTACATGTACATTCTTCAGGTTTGTGAGCATAGTGACTACTACTAGGCTTAGCTTTACTTGAGTGGAGCGTTAGTTTTCCTTTTTTTCGATTTTAGACAGGATCGGTCATACTAATGCTCCACAACGTTACATATAGTAAAGTGACAATGGTTCTCAATTCCAAAGACTCACCAAAAATACCTTTTTCACCACCAACTGGCTTTCTTAAACTTGTGCTAGTATGTTATGAGTGAAGCTGAAAGAGTACTGCCCGAAAATTTTTCATCGATTCAAGGCTTCTGTGATTTTTTTTACAAGCTGTCCAAAAAGTCATAGTGCAAGTAGCCTATACTCTATACAGTACTCAGCGAGAAACCTTGCCAAAATATGTTGTACAAGGTGCTGAGATTGTGCATTCCGAGTTGGCAGGTGCCGGCTTGGGAAGGTGCTGAAGTGACCATTTACCGGTGTACCCGGTATGCACACCACACTTAATGTTCAAAGGTTTTTGAGGATTGATTCGCAAAATGGTGTCCTCCATTGGAGCCGCTACTGCCTAACTGTGAAGCTCTCTTACTCGTTCTTTCTGATTTTTTTTTTGGGTGTTAGACAGCAATTTAGTCCAAATTAGTGACTTATTTTGAAAGAGAAAGTTCTTTCTTTTGAAAGAGAAAGTTCTTGAGAGGTAGAAAGTTCTACAAGAGGATCACAAGTTTAAGGTGAAATATTGGAGATTACTATTTTTACCGTTGGTCTTTGTCATCGAGTTTTTACACACTAGCAGATGTGACTGCATGATCTGATAATTCTGTCGAACTTGCAAGTACATGTAAATGCTTCAATGTTCTCAGTGCTGAATTTGACTTCTTAGGACATGTTATCACACTCTGTTGGCTGGTATTGGGCCTCCCGCAAGGGAAAAGCAGTGGTAATCATGGCGGTGTCTGCATAAAACTCTAACTGTGCAGGTGTATCGCGGAGGCTTTTTGCATGTTTTCATACAGCCCTTGCAAAATAAATGATATACATGTACATACACATATAGGCCTATCATAACTTTTGACATCACTTTACTTGACATGCTTATTGTGTAGTGTTAGTGTACAACATGGAGAGGCTACAAACTTTACTAAGTACATGTGCATTTATTTTCAAACACACCTTGCCTGTTAATAAAACTTTCTCATTTGATGCCATCTTTGTAGGAAAATTGCTAATGCGTGTACAATGCCAGATTGCCAACAGGTGTGTGAGCGCGCGGTGTATAAAATGTTCTACTCTCATGCGCATGCTGATCCTGATGTCTGTGAAATACCCATGCACGTGCAAGTCTGTAAGAAGGGACGTCATTTGAGAGAGACGTATAATTTGAAAGTGATAGGCCTACAAGTACAGGTTGGGCGCTATTGGTTGTTGTATTCGCAACCATTGGATCTTTGCTCAATCACTAGATCTCAGTGAACAGTTTATAATTCAGTTGGTCACCTAATCACATTTTCTTTCAAATTCACTATTGTGAAAGATTATTTCAAAAAAGGAAAGTACATGCAGTTTGAAATTTTATGCAGAATCGACTAATCACAGAGAGCACGCATTCCCAATTGCGGCCAACCTATATTTTCCCAGTGTCGGCTGAATTGCAGCAGACTCTAAACATTATTTAGCCAGCTATACATATGTGAGAAGCCCTATAAAAGGTATTAATTAAAGTTCCATAATACATCATGCAAGTTCTATGGCTTAGTGGATAATATGTATCTTGTGAGTATAAATGAAAAAATCCCCGGTACATGTAGCAGGGTTCTTGCCAGTCATAGCATATCAGGCTTATGCACTTTGCAAAAAGCCCAATGCTCTTTAATTCCCACAATACGCAATTGATATTTTGCCAATATTTTACCTTAAGTTTTAAAAACATTTCAATCAGAAAATTAATAGTTTCTTTGAGAATCATCAGTAACAGTTATCAGAATATTGACAAAGGGCACTGGAATCAAACAAAAGTTCCACAACATGACCTACAGTACCTATACACAGGTACTTAAACTTGCACAATACTGACTCCTGTAGTGCTGCTGAAAAAAAAATAGCAAGAATAATAAAAGTAATATGAGCCAGCAAAGGATTCCACGTGCACCGCCTGATGTTGTTTTACATTGACTTTGACATTTAATTAAAGTTTCTTTTTCTGCTTCAAGGCCTCAGAGAGTTTTTTTAATGGGAAAAAAGTCTGATTCCGAATTGGTGAAAACAGAGGCACAATGACAGTGTTTGCACAGAACCAGACTAAGATTTTTAACATGTTCATTGTTTATCCGGCAAATTATCTTTTAGATTTAGCCAGCACCGGCTAAATAGACAATGCCTACAAATTGTACATTTGGCAAGAGGTCCATATTCCTGCATGGACGTCATTATAGTGGTTTATTGGTGACAGGAAAGTGATACCGTGTCCTAGAGTGCCAAATTTAGCTGGGAAAATACTGAAGTGTTTACTTAGAAGCATACATTTCTGGACCAGTCTCATAGGCTTTGTGCACAGGTTGTCAAGTGATGTCCATTCATATACAGTGTATATCTTCTGTGGAAATTTTTTCAGTTTTGTTCAACAAAATGCCTGAGGATACTAAAATTGATATGGAAATGGCTACGTTGAAATTTTTCTACATCTGTATGGAAAAAAATTGATTGACAATTGAAAAGTCCAAGTTCAAAGTCATGAGACCGCCTGCACTTAGCGGCACTTCATCCCTGTGATATTGTTGCATAACTACACTAAACTGATGTTTGTTTTCCAACTTGTTCTACATGTACTGACTTTTGAGATAGCTTGAGCTATCAAAAAAGTACTGATAACCAGGATAATCATTGATAACTCTATTCAAGTGAGGTACAGATAAATGTACCTCTATGTATGCCCGGATGTTGGTACAGTTGTTTGCCCATGTTTGACCCATTGGTGACCCTAAAATTACATTTGTTCAGTCAGAGGTTTAGATCAACATTCAAAAGTGCAAATGTAAATTCCAATTTTTTTTCCCATTTTCATGAAAATGATAAAAAAAATCATCATTATTTTCTTTAATGCATTTTGGAAGTTCTTGATTTTTGGTTCTTGGAAGATTTTTGAAGACTTGGAAGTTCTTCAAAAATCCTGACCTCACTCGCCGGACATGAGCCAGTACACATACCATTTCAGTAATGTACATGTACATTATAACTTGACGAGTTTTAAGTGCATGTAGATTGACTTGCGGAATTTCCCCACAGTCGTTGTCACCAACGCTGAAGCATGGCTGAAGCACGCAGTGCTGTCAAGGAGCCAAGAGTAGATGTGCTGTACTTTGAGGAGGGCCAGGAGGATGAGTGGAAGGTTGCATTGAAGGCGCTACGCAGGAGCTGTGTACGGAGGTTCTATCGCACTCGGTAAGACATCACGATGCGTATGTTCATCCTGCTTTGTGATTTCTTTTTTTTTTTCATTCCCCAAAGCCAACATTTTTTGTCAGACGAAATTGATACATGTACGTTATATTCTCCGTTAGGTTAAACAGTACGTTGAGGTCCATGTATTAACAATCTTTACACCAGAAAGCCGTACATGTAGTTTGGTATTATAAAGGCAATATAAAAATCAGACAGATGTTTTCAGGCACAAGCATTCCAAGTTTTTTAATATTTATGAACAAAAGTATTATGCAGAGAGTCCTACAATCCTCCATCTACTGGAACTATATGAAGCCATCCTTTCAAAATTATTGTCAAAAATGAAGCAGTTGTGATGGTTTCATTCACTTGCAACAGAGAAATAAAAGCCACTGTGCAGGCACGGCATACAGAGACCTTGTGATGGAATACATGGTGAAGTAGATCTTGAATTCATGATGTACAGCATACCGGTACATGTATCACTCTGTGCATTATATTTAGAACCTTGCACAATTTCACGAGTATGTCTTATCAAAGAGCGTCTTGAAAAACTACCCTTTTAATAAAATCAACCATCCTGCAATTTGAAAGGATAGATGTGCCTTCCATCTGAGTCCAGCTGACCTTCGTGTTATTGTACATATGTGTAATTTTAAATATTTTCATGGATAATTATCAACTTTTTCTTTTATACATAACTTTGCTCCACTTTCCCTTGGTCGACTGTGAGTTCGGTTCCACCTTAGTCAATTGAAACAAATGAGAAAGTACTGATGCATGCCAATACAGTTTTTGTGAAAAGATATTTCTTGCCCTTCATTTTCAACCACAGTTCCCTGTTCTCAGTAATTGGTACTGACCTTAATTAAGGAGAGGCTTTGGTCATCTTCACTACCCTACAAGGCACTGGGAAGGGAAAATGTATGACACATGTTTGTCAAACACAAGTTGGCTTTAGGTTCAGGCTTTAGGTTTCCTTCCTATTTTGGGATGGGAGACCCGTTACTCTGTGTCTCCCGGCACTTTATGGTTTGTCATAAAATCCATTGTCAACAGGTGATGGTACCAGCATTTTTTTTCAGAATTTTTTTCATAACAGTGTACCTATATTTGTACAGTCAATTGTGCTGGGTCCCAGGTAAAAATTTGCATCTGGCCTTGTGTTTAGTTTGTCCATATAACTCTTTTGGTCCCAATAACGTCTACCAATATATTACAGCACTTGTGTTACATGTATACATCTCCCTTAACTTGGTACACATGTATGTAAAAAATATTATTTGTTAACATGTATGTGTGGCAGGGTTCCCCTGCCTATTCAAGTGTGAGGCGGCCCACCTCACTGAGTTTAGTTACCACTTTGGGCTTTCCTATTGAATTTAACCCCTCACACTTTTATGTAAAACAGATAAAGATGAAAGGAAAAGCAAAATGCATGTGACTTGAGCATTTTGAAGTACAGTTGGTCAGTTTTAAATCATTCAGAATAATAAAGAGGGGCACAGAATACAAGATTATTTTATATTGTACGGCAGATTTGAATTCAATTTTCCCCCAGACTATATTAATTTATTTTAGGTCTTTTTGAAAACATTTTTTTGGGGGGGGGGCAAAATTAGTTTGATTATCTCACTTATATCAGCACCCTAGGGGAAACCCTGATGTAGTAATTTACCAAGGATGACATTCTCTGCATACATTACGTACTTGTGTTTACGTACATGTACATGAACATGTATGTGTGTAAACAAACATGTTCCAGGATACTAGCATGTGAACATCAGTATTACAAAAAACATGAACGGCATAAGTACGCACATACCGTACATGTCTGGGGACTTCCGTGAAATGCCCAGACGTCATGATAGGCATCACAAAATGCATCAGGAATTTCAGCTGCTGTTGTACGGTATGTTTACGTACAATTGTACACGTACATGCATGGTACACATGGCTAACTGTTTGACATCTGTGGCTTTGATGCATTCTTTCCACCTGTACCATATTCTTTGTGTTAATTCACAAACTGTGCGCATGCCACCATACATGTACACGTATATGTGTACAGCTACGTGTACATGTATACAAGCACATGTACCGGTACTTGTTCCTGATGTTTGTTGTGGTGCAGTATTGTAACCATGTCATATTGTGGTGGCATGCCTTCCAGTTATTGAAAGAACATAATTTAAATGACTGTAATTTGTATGGATTGAGTTTGAAGGTAAAAATTTTGATGAACAAGATCTGAAAGATGTTCTTTTTTTGAACAATGTAAATGTACAGTGTATATGTCTTGAGTTGTCTGCAGTACTACATGTACTAAAATTTGAATGTGATGACTGTGACCGTTTAGTATACTCGTAGCTAGTGCCTTACTCAGGCAGACATTGGCAAATGGTGTACATGTACATGCATGTACATGGTATGTACATGTGCAATGTACATGGAAAATGTGTGCATATGGATACATAGGCATCTCCATGAAAACTACAGTTTTCATCAGAAATTTTGTTACCGTGCAAATGCCAGAAGTGCCAGGGTGCTCACAGGTGTCAAATACTTCCATCGTTTCTTCTACATGTACTTGTACATGTATGTGCAGCTTTCGTAGCTTGAGGGTGAGCGCAGATACTCAAGTGAGTCAATTAGAACCCTCAAATTCATCACCCACGTTTCTTAAGTATGCCAAACTGAGTGATATATTAATATATACATATATATATATATATGATATACAATATATGAAGAAGGGAGCTCAGGTAACTCTTCTAATGCAAACTTGTACAAACCAAATTGATGAAATATTGGTTTTAGACCCAATTTGTAGGATCCAGATATATGTTAAAATTACAGAGTTGACTGTTTACTGTTGTTTCATTACTATGTATATGGCTTTTTTTTTCAGGAATCTTATTTGGAATGGTCTATGGCCAACATCTTCATGGAACCTGCTCACATCAGTGGCTGTCGTATCACTTCTCATGATCACTGAATTTGAGTTTTGCGAGCCACTCAATGACAAGTTTTGGACTCTTGGCGAGTACGTGTACATTAGTAGAGGTAAGTTTATCCAAGATGTAAATGAACTCAATCAGACCAGATAAAGATAAGTATTCATTTCCTTCCATTTCAGGGGCATAGATAACTCTTTCCACTTCCCCATCACAAATGCTGGGATTTGTATGTGTAGCACAGTCCATCTGGCAACTTGATGATTCGGTAATGCAAACCGCCACCTTACTTCTGGTTTGTCACATGCAATTTTTGAAGGTGATGATTTGCTTCCGCAAGATGAGACAACTGCTGTACACGTGTAACGGATGGATTGTACCAGCACCTTCCTGAATTCTAAAAAGTCCCCCAACGTGCCTGTTAGAGTTTATTATGTGTGTGTTTTTGCTGCAGTTAAATTGTAATCAGAGTTGCATTCATTTGTGCTGTTTTCATCACCAGGGCCCCCCTACTTCTACCTGAAGGTCCTGATTGTCTCCCTCCTAGTCGGTGTTTGTTTCTTCATCGCACTGCTCCACGTCAGGCGCTACCTGCTCCGCATCTTGCTAGCTTATAAGGGATGGCTACGTGAGGACCCATTTTTGGTCTAGTTATGGAAAAAGGTTCAATTATGGAAGACACATCTGTCTCTGTCAGAGTTTGCCGTTGTCAGTCCCTCAGCATGTACGGCTTATGTTTGTGTCTACTCACCCATGTACACGTACAAAACATATTGCACTATTAGAATGTGAAGTGCGGTTTTAGTATGATTTCAGTCACTGGATTTCTGTGCATACTGGTACACAACAGTTTTAACACCAGTTGTACTGAGTTGTACTGAATTTGAACACAGTTGCGTAAAAAGCTTTTTCTGTGAAACTGTGTTTGTTACATGTACATCTTAAATAAGAGCACAAGATGAGGTGTGTTGTCAACCGTACTTGATTTTATTCAAGAGAAAATATGGATGTGAGCACCTATATCGATATCAAAGTTATGACCCTTGTATTTCCATTTGATCCTTTGAAAGTCGCACACGTGGCAGGTCCTAGCCAAGAAATTGTACACCATGGGAAAGATATTCCCTCAGCCATTACATTCTGGATTCGCACATGTCACAAGCCTCACTTCCTTTGTAATTCATTATAACCCTCCTATGCTGAAGTCCCTCTTTGGGTCATTTGGTAAACACCTAAAAGAAGCACAGCTGTGTTGTGTTGTGCACTTCACCAACTGTCCCTCACAGGNCACCAGTGACTGTGGGCACTCATGCACATTTGTGCTGTAAAACCATAGGAGGGTTAAGGAGCCTCTGCTGCATGAACACTTAGCAAATGTTAATCAGCTGTGAGGCTGAAGCAGACTTTCCACCTCTTCATTTCTCAGACGAGACTCCCAGGAACCAGTCGTGGAGCACGCTGGCCTGGGGGGCCTGCGTGCGCATCATCTGCGGCCAGACCCTGAGTGCACTGGTGCCGGCCCTGAGCCCCGGCACCTACAGCTTCCAGCTCAGCCTGCCCCGCATGCCGGTGCCTTCATTGGATGACACCATCCGACAGTTCCTTGAGTCCATGAGGCCACTTCTGGACAAGGAAGAATTTGAGACGTTGCAGAAACAAGCTAAGGTTAAGATTTGTTCAGATACATCTAACACCCCAGTGGACATTTCCTGTTTTTTAACTCTTGGAGGACATTACAAAAAATTTAGCAGATGAGTTTTGACTCGAGCTTGGAATTGAGTTGTACCCACAGAGAGTGGGTGTTTGGTTTTTTTCACACATTACATATACTGTATCTCAAGAAGTGAGCAATTGAGAGTTATGTTTTCCCATTCTGTGTGAACCAACAGTTGTTCAAATGCATTAAAGTGTACGAGCTGAAGGAGGTGAATTTGGCCTTGAAACTGTTGGAGCTGACTTTTGACATTTAATTACTCAGGGCAATTTTAGTCTCCATTTATTGACTGTCTCTGTCTTTCTCTTGTGCAACACATTTTTGTTTTTTTAAGTGGCCTGAACTAGCACATGGGCACTGTTTCAAAGACCAGGTTGTGTAACATTACGTCAGTCAGCAAGGAACCACAATTGTTGGCTTCTGATGTTTTCGTCTCATACATCTTCATCAGTTAACTCTTCATTTTTAACATTCTAATTCACCACAGCATTTCAAAAAAACTGTCGGTCCCAAGTTGCAGCGGTTGTTGTACCTGAAGTCCTGGTGGGCGTCCAACTACATCACAGACTGGTGGTGAGTAACCTCTCTGAGAGCTCATAGCAGCAACAGTAAAAAGCGTACCTCTCTGGTGTGTGTAAAACTTACTATTGTGGTTAATGTGCATCACATGAGGCAAAGATTTGGCACTTAATGTGCAGCTGCTACAACAAAGGAAAGCAATGGGCATTCACATTTGAAAATGTAGATAAGACCAGGACAGAAAAGGCTACTTGTAAGAGTTCACCTCAAGCTACTTTTAAGTTTATATTTTCTCCTGTTGGTAAAATTTTGCCCCCAGGGAGAAGTACATCTATCTGATGAACCGTTCACCCATCGCTATCAATAGCAGTTACTATTGCCTGGGCAATAGCTTCTGGAAACCCACCCATGTCCAGTCTGCGAGGTATGCATATAGCACCAGGATCAACTATCCACTCACCCAACATTTCAGACTTCTGATGGACCTGGGGTCCTTCTGCATCTCCACTGTTGCTTTACATGAGCCTCTATGTCCCTATTTTGTCTGAACATAAAAAATGCACCGATGGTTTACTGCTTGGTGTTTGACTTACTGCAGAGTGTCGAAGCTTGCCAGTAGTCATGTTAACATGCTAGGACTAGTAAGGAATGTTGATGTGCCTCAGTCTAGAAAACTCTGTTTTCATTGCCAAAAACAATCACATGATCAGGTAAAAAATACGCATATTACCCTCACTGTTGGACATATCGTGATGTCATAGACTAGTCCCCACCCCTTAGTCCAAACCGAAATGCGGGAACTGGTCACCAGACTTGTCACTGGTACCTCTGCTACAAATGATAATGGTAAACTCTAGTTGGAGCAATGTACTGGCACAGTGAAATGAACGCACAATTTTTTGGTTGACGGTTGAAGCTTGTTTGAATTTGTTTCTTTGTGTGAGACATAATGTCTGCTGACTTTGAAGATATGCAGCTTTTCTTCCAAAAGGCATAAAGGTATTGCTTTCAAGCAAAACACATGCAACCGACCCAGTTAAACCGATAGAGTGATGCACCGAGTCCGTGTATGTTGTACAACTTTCTCTGCAGCAACGGACCAAGATACTCATTGTTTTAATTAAATTGGAGACCTCTATAGATGAGAAAAATTGCAAAAAATTGAAGACAGAGGTGTAACAAATCAATTATTAACAGCTGTGATGTGGGACATGTTTAAACACCCAAGGGGCTCGTAGCACCTGAGGGAAAGCTGAGGGTGCCATGCGGCCCCGAGGTTGTAAAAAATCGTATCCCACATCACAGCAGTCAGTAATTGTAAACTGTAATCCATTAGTCACTGTACTGCCCAAAACTGCTTGAGAGCTCAGTGATTTTCTGAATATGTCTGTGAATATGTACAATGTGATGTAAGGCCAAAAAAGTCTCCAGTTTTTGGTCAGCTCACAAGTCGCCGTAGACCTGCATGTCCCCCATACATTTAGTTGGGCACTCTTTTTCAAATGTTATCATTTCTGTATTTTACGTTTACATCTGGGAACCAGACAAACGAGTTTGACCTTATGTCCTGTGTACACCCACAAGCTTAAAATGGTTTAAAACAGTAAATAGTGAGGGGGCCAGTATATTTCATTGTTAGTAGCGGCAGTACGTACGTACGTACAAGCGCAATTGCGTGCACATCATTACTAGGGAAAAAAGTGAGGGGGAAAAATATGCATCGCTGCACCACTTTTGGAGTCAGCCCCTGACCAGAAACTAGAGACAATTTTTTGGGCCTAATGTTGTATAGTTGTAGATGGGTTAACTTTCACCATGCCATTGAGTTTGATTAATATTTTCAATGAATTTTTTCCTTTTCTTCAAAATTTGTTTGCTACAAAGAGCTGCCGCCAAGAGCTATGCCATCATGTCCTTCAAGCGTAAAATAGAAAGAGAGCAAGTGCCCCCTCTTGTAATCCGCAACACTATCCCGATCTGCATGCAGCAGTATGAACGGCTGTTTGCCACCGTCAGGTGAGCTCTTATGTCTTAACATCCAATCATGCCCTCTGTGCTCAATCATGCCCTCTACGGGTGCCACTGCTCCTAATCTACATATGTGTGTTGTAGGCTAGGAACCATTCCTTTTGTCAGTACATAAAAAGACACCAGGAATTTACATGGTGTTCAATTGCTGGTTGTTGGTGATACTTTGCTCCTGGAAATTTGACAGGATTACAAAGGTATTACGTCCTATAACATTGACATATCTGTGTAAGAATTATTGAAGCTCCTATGTTTGTCACGTAGGTGTTAACTTGCCAATAACACAACTGAGTAACAGTTGTAATTGGAATTTGTGAAAGGCATCTGTGAAAGGTAAAGAGGGAGGTGTAATTGTCAAGGATTAAGCACTGTTTAACATCAAAGACAGTGAAATGGGTTTCACTTAAGAAAAATTGTGGAGATTTTCAGATTGTTTTCTTGCCGCTTCAGAATAAACAAATTGAACCTGGCAGTGATAAACTTTTTGAATTTTTCATTAACTTTACAGAATACCAGGTGAAGACTTTGACGAGCTTGTTCACTATGATTCCTCCGTTTCTAAGGTACAGTCGCTTGTTATGCGTTGAATTGTTCGCCAATATTCCATGGAAATTCCAATTAAATGAAAGTGTTTTGGGTTCTTATTTCTCAGGATTTTTGCAGGTTTCAGGGTTTGAGGGCTGAAAATAATGCTTTTTTAGCAATTCAGGTGGTCATTTTTGCAATATTGAGTACTTGAGACGAAAAAGTTCAAGATACACAAAATCATAGTCATTTGTAAGACAACTTATGCAATTTTGACAAAAGCTTTGAACAGTCTTAGTATTTATTGTCCTTGTTTTTATCCCTCTGCTTGATGTTTCATATCTCACCCCCTCCTCATTTCTTCCTTGGGTTTTTTACATTTCTTTTTATTTGGGTTTCTTGTTTACCCACTCAGCACATCGTCGTGCTACGCCGAGGCTTTTTCTACAAGTTGGATATGTTTGACTCCATAGGCCAGCCTCTCTCCCCTCTGACCCTGGAGCAGCAGTTCATCTGGATCATGGAAGATGCCGACAAGAAAGGAGGTGTGAGCTTTTCATCCAGTGTCCGTTGGCAAAATGATGCCTCAGTCTGTACTGCTTCAGTCTTCTGACAGAATTTGCCAACGAGACGTAAAAATTTAGCCCAACACATTGCTTTGTGTTAAATTATTGTTTTCTTTTTTAATGTGGTACATTTAATTCCATTTCGTTATGTGCATTTTTTCCCTTGATTCATCAAACCTTTTACATTTGGCCAATTTATTTTGCACCTCTTTGTTTATTGTCATATCAGAAGTGGCTAGCCTTTTTATTTTGCTGTAGAATCCATCCTCTGTCATAGAATAAACATCAAATTTAAGCATGATGAATCAAAAGACTGTTTTCGTTGCTGCCTTTTCTTCCTTTCTGGATTGGCAGCTGAAGGTAAGGGATCAGCCGCTGGTTCTCTGGGTGCTTTCACAGCTCTGGAGAGGTCGGACTGGTTCCGTAAGCGCAGCAAGTACCTGTCATCGGGCGTCAATCGGGAGTCCCTGGAGGTCATCGACAAGGCAGCGTTCCTGGTAGGTGGGCTCCAGTGTGCTGCATGCACTGGCCAGTAATGGAGTGCTGGTCATGGCATTCTAGCACCACTTTCCTGCATCTTCCCAAGCTGCATCAGGCTGTTGTATGACCCACAGTTTTGTGCAGTTGCAGTTGAAAAACTGTCATGACAAAAATGTCTGCCCTTTCCTTCAAGGGAAAATCCTGAGTTTTGGAAAGTGGTGGATTTGTTTTGTTACTTTTCAAGAGTATCATTTGTATCTAATGAACTATGTGTGTTGAACACCTCCAGATTAGAATCAAGACAACAGTTTTTCTTCCTTTGCTGCATCTGAAAGGTCCAAGTGTGAAAGTCTCAATGACAGCAATGATTGAGTTTTAAATTTCGAACATCCTTATGACAGTATTACAGTTTGTCGGTAACTTTAGTTATTTACTTTCTGATCATTTAGGTTTTTCTCCTGTTAATCCTATAAATTCTACATGCCCACTTGATCTGTAACCTTGACACAATGTTGAAGTCTTTTCCATGACAAGTCCCTGCAATTCCCAGAAGGTCATCACAGGACAAATGCAAGTCATCCAGTCTTAAACCAAGTCACAAGTTATTCACATGAATGTTGACAAAAAGCATTCCTTTGTCATTGTACACCCTGTTACTTGCAAATCATCTTGTGAGTCTTGACTTTTGAAGGATGTGATGGAGTCGACTGTAAAACTGCCTTGACCGTTCCTTTTCCCAGGTGATGCTGGAGACCTGCGAGTTTGACAACCTGAGCGACCGGGGCAAATTCCTTCTCCACGGCTCAGGCTCCTCCCACTGGTTTGACAAGAGCCTGTCCATGTTCATCTTCACGGACGGCAAGTTTGGCTACAACGTGGAACATTCGTGGGGAGATGCCCCCGTGGTGGCCCATCTGCAGGAGTACGCGTGCACTGATGAGTGAGTGTATTCAACCAGGGTTTTGGGGGATCACAAGGGTTTTGGGGGGAGTTTGCGCAGTATCAAGGAAGAAGAATCAGAAACAAAAGTGAAACAGACTTCTCTCATGGGGTTCATTGCTGACACACGCACACAGCCAGTTGAGAAATGTCTCGCTATTTCAAGAACTAAAATTATTCAGAGAGTGGTGCTAGCATGTAAATTCTTTTTATTTAATTGTTTGTACCCTTTTCGCTGTACCACCTAAAACTGCCCGACCAGTCATCCCTCGTAAGTCTATACAACAAGCGCTCTACGTTCTCTGGATACACCTGTGAATCATTGCTTGAAGTAATGATGCTGCTGCTGACAGATTAAATAGGCCCTTTCATCTGTGCAAAGGGTTTGTTTGCAGGATTTTTGAAGTTCAAGTCCATCGCACCTGATGTCACAGTCGGTGGCGTCACAAGCCACGTGGCCGCATAGTGCAGAACAAAAAACTAAACAAGCCTGTCAGTCACTGGTACTTTTGGGTTCCGTTCCAGGGTTGCAGAGGGGCGATATGGCCCAGACGGTCATTGTGTCCCCATGGAAGGGTTTGTCCAGGCAGCCATCAAGGCCCCGGTCCCCCTCGAATGGGACATCAGTGAGGAGATGAGCAGAGACATCCGTGATGCCCTCAGCTTTGCAATCAAAGTGAGTTACACGTAGCATTCCCTGATGTGCATTAACAAGCTTAAAGTTCTCTACCTTCTGTTATTGATGAATGCCAAAATATACCCTTCTCAAAATTTTGAATTTGATAAATACTCCAGCTTTTTTTTTTTTCAGAGCACTTCCACGTACATTTGTTAGCGGACTGTGTGATCTTGATACTGTTATCCTTAGAGGACTTACTGCAGGGAGCTCTCTCCAAGTTGTGCTGACATTTTATTTTATTCTGTCTTTTACTGTGCAGAACAATGATGATCTGGATCTGTGTGTGTTGAATCACGATGCATACGGCAAAGGCTTTGTCAAGAAATGCAAAGTATGTTTAGAACGAGATGCCGTTTTCCATATTTCTAAAGGATACAAGTTTGATTCCTGCCTAGGTCAAAACATGGATTTGGTTTTTAGTGATTTTTTTTTGTGTGCACAGATCAATGCAACATTTTATTGAATGACATCACAGTTTGCTCATGAATATGCAGAACCATTAGCATAAAAACCACAACAGCTCAAAACTAAAGATTAATACAGCAAAGCAAAATTGTAGTTTTTTCAGACGCATATAAAGGCGAACGGTCAGGAATCTTCCGATGTCGAACCATACTTTAACTCACTGGAACATGTGTTCTGTTCGCAGTTGAGTCCGGATGCCTATGTGCAACTTGCTCTCCAGCTTGCCTACTACATGGATGAGGGTAAGTTTGCCCTGACCTACGAGGCCTCCATGACGCGCCTGTACCTGGCCGGCAGAACCGAAACCGTGCGGCCACTCACCCAGGACTCCTGTAACTTTGTGCGGTGAGTGACTGCCAACTGTGCTTGGTTGTTTCATTAATTGTGGCATTAAATGAAAGATAATGTGAAGGGTTTAGATGGGCTTTGGAGTACAGACGAACAAGATGGGAGAGGAAAAATGGCCAACATACACTAAAGGAAAGGATTTTGGGAGTATTAATGGCATAGTATCAAACTAATGTCTATATTTAATGACAGATTGAGTGTTCTCTGTAGTGGTAGAGCAAATCATTCTAGATAACTGTTATTAAAAACTGTGATAGTGGGTTTTTCATTAATGACTTGCTTATTATATACTGTGTATATTGGAACTGTTCAACTGTTTAACTACGCTGGATTTGGCTGAGATCACTAAACTGCATGACACTGCTGGATGTACAGCCATTCAGAAGACTGGATTTACAAGATAAATATATAACTTTTGTTACAGGCCATGTGCAAATGGGCTTCCAGAGCTATGGCTACGTATACTGTCATTGAGTCTCTACTAATTTCCAATGGATCGAAGACCTAGACCTAGCTCTAAACAACAGATTCTGATGCATCCTTAGATTCTTTTAAGCTTTGTTGAGACACAGAGTAGAATCCATAACATTAACCACTTCATGCCGGAGCATTTTTCAGTGTTGATGATGGTGGGCCGGCATGACTATCATTTTTTCCGTTTTCAAAAGTCCTTCAAAATTCATCATTTCAACGGACGTTTATAGCCACACGAAGTAATCTTTAGGCACTACTCCAAGTTGACAGGTGACTTTCATTGACGCCCGAGTATTTCAGCCAGGCCAGCAGCCTTTTAAAAAGAGCCCAGATCGTGCGGTGTTGTGTAACTTTCTTTTGTTCACAAACCTGGCTTGGTGCACTGCTGACCTCTTTTCAATCGGGGCCAGATTAGCGTGCAGTGGTGCTGTGTGGCTCATCGCTGCAGTGGTGGAGCACTTTTGTCCCCAGTGGTAATCCGCTTGCTTTCAATGCCCCAAACCCTTGTATATGGTTTCAAAACAAGGCTGGATTATCACCACTTTTGAGAGTGAAAAATGCCGGTCATGCCCAGCAGCCTGGTCTTTGTTCTGAGTACGGTCTTTTGTTACAGGGCCCTGTTTCCTTTGTCCGAGTTCGGAGACCCCGGCCACGCATATAAACCATACATCTCCGATTCCGGAGTCCCCGGCAGGAAGTGGTTAATTATTATAAATTACACCAGTGGTTATGCATGTTCATGTTGATTTAAAGTTAAGACATGTCTTTGTTACAGCAGTATTTTTGTGGAAAGTTTAGTTTCAAATTGTAGACCAGAATTTGAATGAAGCTCATTTGTCCTGATGATTTCCTTAAAGTGCCATTTTATTGTGTGCAGAGCAATGATGGAAGACAATCGCTCGGCCGAAGAGAAGATCCGCCTGCTCCGCAAGGCATCGGACATGCACACCAAGCTGTACAAGGGCTGCATGAGTGGCAAAGGATGGGACAGACACCTGTTCGCTCTCTACGTGGCCTGCAAGGGCCTGAAATACGTGAGTATCTCCCGCCAGTGACTCACTGAGATCTAAATGCAAAGGAAAGATGCCTGCTAAAATGCCATCAAAGAAGGTCTGCTTGCTCAAGGCACCAGACCAATTTTTAGGCCTTAAGTTTCAGTTGCTATCTATTAATATTTCCTTTTGTAAGGCAAAGGTAACTCACAGCGTTGAGGCTCCTTTAACCAAAAGTTAAATATTTTCACCTCAAAGGAGATTAAACATGTTTTGTTGTCCTGTAAACCCTGAGGGATTGTAGATTCTTTTGACATGACCTGAACATACATGCTAATGGCATTGTGGACCATCGGCAGAAGTGTCCGCCTCACTTCATGTAAAGTGCCTGGCTTGAAAAATGAAAAGAAAAGCATTCTATTTAAATGAAAGTTGTGTGTACTGTGGACTGACGCAATTAGTAGAACATTCATCCCCACTCGAAAATTGCTAAAGAACCAGAGACTCTGTCATTGTGATTCTAAGTACATAGAGTACCGTATACTTATTAATCCCACTCCATGACAGTCCAGTTCTGCACATGCCCTGCACGTCTGGTCGTTTTCGTTTAAAGGATCTTTAGTGTAATTTGGCTACCCGCATCAAAACCCATTTACTGTGGTGGCACATCACTTGTGGACAGGTGGTAATCCGCTCACACTGCGTGCTACAGACAGTGGTATACTGTTTCAAAAAAATGATGCATTATCTCCGCTATTGTCAGTGAAAAAATGTTGGTAATTCCCAGCAGCCTGGTCTTTTGTTACGAGTACAGTCTTTTGTTACAAGGCCCAGTTCCCTTTGTCCGATTTCGCAACCCCGGCTGTGCATATAATGAGTGTCCGAAACCAGGCTCCCCGGCAGCAAGTGGTTAAGGAAAGATTTCAGGTGGGCTTGGATCAGGTACTGCTCTGCATTCATGTCTAGAAGTCTGGTTTTTTTTAATTGGCACATCAGAGTTTTCTAATACAGAAACAGCATTGTTTAACTTCCCTTGAATTATACATACTCTTGCATTGTGTTGCTGTTTTAAATTTTAGGACAGCGAGTTCCTGCACCATGCACTGACTCACCCCTGGACCTTATCCACCAGCCAGACGCCTCAGCAACAAATCGCCGGTAATCAATCAATCAACACAGTGGAGCACAGAGACAAGGTGAAGCCACGTAATGCTCACATAGCTTGAAAATACACTACAAGGGTGTAATGATCCCAATTACAAACTGCTTGAAGTCTTGACAAAGTCTTGAAGTCGAAGAACCGTGTTATGTGAACCAAAGAGTGTGTGCTTCATAAATCAATTATGGTTAGGCAGCCTGAGCTTGAAGAGATGAATTTAGAAATACGTTTATACGTTGAGGAATTTTACACCACCAGTCCCCAGTTATTCCATGGGACAATAGGTAAAAGTGATGAAAGATCTTCACTTTGTGAATGTCAAACCTGCCTAGAACCTGACTTTCAGCCAGACTGCTCCACATTGCGCAAAGGTCAGATGTCACTTAATGTGTAGAATGGTCATCAGAACCTTTACTGCCCTGACAGGCTTCCCATAAATGTTAATTCTAGGGGAATCAATTACAGATATACTGGAGAAGGTTATTGGGGACTGCACAGAATGCCTAAACAGCTGTTGGTTTTCCTGAAAAAAAGCAAACACTGTGATCTGCTCATTGTCAGTTCACTTTGAAATCTTCATCAGTTTTATCTCTTTTTTATAGTAACTTGATTAAAAATCTTAAAGATTTTTTAAAAAAAGCATTCCTTCCTTTATGCAAAATGAGATGGGTATTGGTATTTGAATAGCACCATGTCCATGTGGAGATTTAATATGGATGCATATCAGTGTAGGGTCAGAAAGCTCAACACTGTAGAGTACCTGAGCTTTACTTGAATACATTAAATATTTACGTGTAAGTTTGGTCGAAATATCTGTACTGACTCCAAATTTATAATGTTCATCTACAGGCTAGCCCTGGTGGTGGCTTTGGGCCAGTGTCGGACGAGGGGTACGGCGTGTGCTACATGCTGCCCGAGGACAGTCGCTTCTTCTTCCACGTCTCCTCCAAACACTCCTGCCCCTTGACCAACTCCAAGCGCTTCATGAGCAACATCTTCAAGGCCCTGGCTGACATGAAGAAGATCTTCGACGACGCGGATGAGGCAGCGGAGGCTGCCAAGAAGAAACTCTAGGGAGGGGGGTGGGCGTGGTTCCCGCTCGTCATTGACACATTGCCAGTGACTTCCCAGTGGTGCTGACTTGGATGTGAGTTGCCAATTGTGGTTTCTCTTCCTGTTGTGTGCACACATTTAAGAAAAAAACAACTGATTTTGGATACTGTTCCCTTAAAACTGGAACTTCAACTTTTTTGCAAAAGTTCTCATTCCCCACCTGGAGCTGTTAGTGGCTCAGTAATTTGTACCCTAAACCAGAAAGTGATCAGCTACTAAATACGGTCCTCTGCGTGGGCCTGCTAAATGCACTGGTAGGGTCAGGGTTTTTATCATTTTAATGTAAATATTAAGAACAAATTGGTTAATCCATTACAGTGGAACGCCGCTATAATAAACACGACAGGGTCCATGCTAAATGTTCAGCACAGCAGTCATTCGGTATAGCGAAATTAATTGCCGAACGTTTCATTGCCATGATGAATAGCACCTTCTCTTGTCTAACTGAAGTGCACCCTCTTGTGATACTATGATTCATTGTTTTCATGATGTTTTGCAGTTGCATTCACATTTGAGGTTTCTAGAAATGTATCTGTTAATTATTTTTCTTTTTATTAAATCTCGAGTTACAACATTGATGTTCAGTTTATCCTAAAAGTCGTGAAGTTACTACTCAGGGTCGATCTCTGATGCATGCTGTGGCGAATCTCTGTTGATTTGCAACTACATAATGTTCGGTAGGTTTTGTGCACAAAATATTGGGAGCCAAGGACTATGTTCAGTACAGCCAAATGTACGATGTTGCGACGTTCCACTGTACCATTTCTAGTTGCTGCTTAGTATTGATGCTTTCAGGACCATATGAGCGGTGTGTGTGTTCCAGTATTACATATAACGACAAGAAGCATTACAATGCATTTAATGGAAAGGGTCACTCAGTTGACCCTCAGTTCCTGTAATTAGAACTCTGAACATTGACACCTCTTTAAACAGGGGTAAAACTTAAGAGGGTTGTTCTTATTTTTGAAACGTGATTTCAGCCGTGTACATGTACATGTATTTGCATTCGGGCAAAAGATGTGAGTTTGATAGTTGTTTCTTGCCGAACTAAGGCAGAGGTTGAGAGAATCGTTCTGTAGTGTGTGTAGTTTGGAGGTGATTTCCTGTGTCACGCAAGTACGTGAATTCCAATCTGTGTTTCAGCTTTAAACTCTGCCCATATTTTTAGTATTATAAAATGTGAAGTGTTGGTTACCTCTTCCTAATTTGAAAGGCTGCGGGTAATCTGTTTGTTGTGCATTCCGAGTTAGGGCTAGCATGTAAATACAAATGTAAATACGAGTGCAAGTCTGCAAAGTTCGGCAAATATTCACAGCAGTGAACACAGATGTAGCGTATGTTGCTGTGAATGTGTTTTATATTGGCTTTCATATGAATCATGTGAAGACCTTTGCATATGCACATGCGCTCTTTGAGAAGCCCCACACCATTTCATTCTGTCATGGGCACACTAACCCTAACCCTGCCGGACATACTAGCCATGTTCAAAACGGGCTTCCAGAGCTACGGCTAGGTCTATTGTCTACGCGTCTCCACACATTTCCAATGGAGTGAAGACCTAGACCTAGTTGTAGACAACAGATTTGGATGCAGCCGTAGCATAGTGCAGAAGATGTAAAGTTCTGGTGATCATTGTTTGGTCCGGCAATCAACAGCAGCCCGGAAAAAGACTGCCCATGTTGAGACAGTGTGAGATGGTGCCCTTGACCTGTGCCCGCTGTTTGGATTCCACAGACTCCCAGGCCATTTGGCATTGAAGATAGTCAACATGTTGGATCTTGTTACAGTGGGCAGGCAAGTCACTCTGACATAAAAGGCAAGCATATTTTGTATTGATGCTTGGATTTTATGTTTTAAGACAGATTTTAGAGGAGGACAGGGAAAAAAAATATTTTCTATGGTCTTAAGAAAAACAAATAAGGGTCTTCAAGTTGGAGGGAAGGATTAAACCCCCCCCCCCAAGAAAAGAAAAAAGAGGTATCCCTTACTACCAGTGCTAACTGCTGAGGACCAAAGCTCATAAAATTGAAATTGGGGACTTCATGTCGGTTGGATAGCAGAGCAACAGTTTATGTCTGTTGCTGTTCTTAAGTGCAAAATTTACTTTAATGTTAAACAATGCAAGTTGCTCATGCCAATGAACATTTTTCCCCAAGCAATATGTATATTTTCCCCCACAGATTCAATACCACATATCTTGTGTTAGACATTTGTTTACCCAGGTCCTGAATATGTTATATACATGTGCATGTCTGTGTTCTGTTTGTTACATTGTACTACGTATGTGCCAAGGCAATGCAAGTACCATACTCACTACAATACTTTGAGGTTAATGCCAGTGTGGTTTCATTGTAAAAAAAACCCAAAAAAAACAGTTGCCAAGCAATGCAAAGAGGTCGTGTACAACTAATTACTGTTATATTTTTATGATTGAAAATAGGGCTGTATTTAAAGTATTAAGTTCAAGGGTCGCAAACGTTATCTCCTGGACTATCTAGAATGGAAGAACAGAGGCTTGTAAAAAGTTTTTGCCGTAGTGAAATAGTGGAATTTGGCTTGATGGTGGTCTGCCATGTCCCGAGTGCTCTTCGCTTGGTCTAGTTCCCTGTGTACCAGCATGGTGTGCTGTGGATGTATTAAAAGCATTACAGTGTGGATACCTTTGGACGGTCAGTTGTCTGCTAAGGTATGTTCATGTTTCCTACGTGTCAGGCTGGAAGATAAAGGGAGCCCCTGAGGCAATTTGTACTTGATCAGTCAACCTTCCAAAATGTCAAAGCGAAAGTACTTTTTCTGATTGGTTTGCAGACTGCCACACACTGACACAGATGGCAATGTCCTTGGTTAACCTTGAAAATGTACAGTTTTACATGCCTTGTGGTCTTTAGTATAACAAGACTCTTGAACAAGGTTCAGTACATGTACATCACAGTTACTAATTTGGCTGGAAGAAAAAGGCTGGCATCATTTGTCTCCATTTAGGGACATTAGAAGTGGATCCAGGAATTTCTTTGGGGGGAGGGGTTCAAGCCAGAGGTTTTATTTTGTGTCTCCTTTTTGCAGACAATAGTTTGCTGTTTGTAACACGCGCCTTGTACTCATAAGAAGAATCTCCAGGATGCTACCAGTATCTTGTTTTAAATTTTTTTTTTTTTTCCCAAATTTTTTACCCTTTTTTTTTTGGTCTCAGGGAAAGGGGCATTCCCCCCCCCCGGATCTGTGCCTGGACAGTTGAAATAAGTTTAATATTGTTGTTTGTAATGTATTGTTGAAGTTGACCCTAAAAGTTAACTTACCAGGAGACCCATATGTTCATTATAAAGAACTCTTTAAAAACAATGTAAGAAGGAACTCTCAGTTTATGTTGTTTTGTGTTTGCAATCACAGCATTGGTTAAAATTGTAATATAGAAAACAGTAACATAGATTCCAGATGTATATTCAGAATTTTGTTAATAGCAAAGTGGTAATAAATTGTACTAGCTCTAAAGAACAACTTCACTTGTTGGAGAAATCCCACTTTCTTCCCTCCCCACTGTTTCCCTAACTCTTCCCAAATCATGACTACTACCACCACCCACCCCCATCTTTCTACACTCAAAAGATTTGTATTGTAGTGAACCATTGTCACCTGGGGTGGAACTCGTTATGATGATGACTGACATGGGACATGCCCCTATCATGTTTTCTCACATCGGTTTATGCACAGAGCGCTGTTAAAGAACAAGACATGTATTTCGTCCGGCTCTTCCTGTTCCTATGAAAAAAGGGACACCTTTTTAATGTGCCATGATGCCACTTATCTGTTGTAAGTGTGCCATTGCAGTGAGAAGAAATAAAATAAGATCAAGCTTGCATGGTGCATATGAAGTCTGTGCTTGCATTCAAGGCATCAAGATTGGCTTGAATAACAGTAGAATTGTCGATAGAATAGAATGCCATTAAAAGTAATGTGTACCTCAGATGAGTACACAATGCAATTTCTCGTCTTTTAATAAAATAGAATTATGTAATACTCTATCTGAAATGCAGGTAAACCAGTGGCTAACCCAATAGTTTAATTAATGAGTATTCAGTTGTTTTTCTCCTTTTCTTGTCATTGTCTTATTTGTTTACCTCTTGTTCTTATCGTTTCCTATTGTTTATATTAAAACTAAGGCAATCTTAAGTCATTAGTTCGTAATATAAAATGCAGTGGTAAATCATTCGTGTTTTGCTTTTTCTTGTAGAAACGACAAACAACATCTCATTTTTACTGTTAAAACAAAATACTGTACATGCCTTTGGTGCGGCTGCTTTCAAGTTTGAATCTTTTACTCACATAACAGTGCTCTGTACATGTACCTTAGTGAAGGTTTTGAATGTCTCACGTTGTACCTAGTTTGTAGTGCTTGTAAGTAAAGCTTGTCCAGGTCCACTACCATGTAAATAATTCCTTGGATTTTCACAACTGTCATGTTCAGAATTGTCTCCAGTGTTGCAATTGTGACCATGTGCATTTTATTTTTAAGGGCATAATAGTGTATATGAATTCTACATGTCAAAATGTACACAGGTTTTACACACTTTATATCGATTGCTTTGAGGAAGTGAACTGCATTAATTCAAAACATTCAGCTGTACCAATGAGAATACAGATTCTCGGAACTTGCCAGCATTTCAGGCTTTTTGCATGTTTTGTTTGCTTCAGCAGAGGACATTTTTGAAAAAGGATTTTTGTTTGCCTTTTCTGAAATCGTTTCTCTTCATGTATTTGTAATCCACATCTGAAGTCACCACAGAGACAAAAACTGTGATTTTAAACAAATTGCAAGGAGTAGCCGCTGTCACTTCAGCATTATGTGACACTTTAACAATTTAAATGCATAAATATTGTGCACAAAATGTCTCTAAAATATTGCAACTTAATCCAAACCCCACTATGAGGACTTCTTACATAAGTGCAGAGTGATGCTCATAAAGATTGCAAAGGTTTGTGCAGATTCAGGTGCATATATGAATGTAATGCCTTTTTTGTTTTATTGAGTTTTTACCTTTCACTTATGTTTATGTACGACAGCTTTTTTTATTAAGGCAAAAAGCTGAAGTCACTCAAAAGTATTAGTTTAGTGTGATTTGTTTTTACTCCTTAAATGTCAGAGGAAACCAAAAATTTTAACATCAGGTTTCCTGAGCATGCTGTTGGGAAAATGTAATTTCGACCTCACTCCATGTGGCCATAACTTACCCACAGCATGCCACGCCATCCTCACCAAGTTGTTGACTTATTAGTTGGTCTTGACTTGTTTGGGACTAAAGTTCCTTCTTGCTTACATTTATCACAGACTGATGTCTTGCAGCAGACATGGGGGTAATAGGGTCAAGTGGATTTCACAAGTGAGTGGGTCAGTGTGTTTCTATTTAATGAATTATGGTGGATTTGGGGATGTTTTTCTTGGGAGCTTGAGTTTCAGATTGATATTCAATGTGAATTGTGTTTTAAGAATAATAAAAATGAGTGAAGGAGCTGGTCTGTGTATTTCAGTTTTATTTTTAGGGTTTTCCTTGGGAAGATTATGTAAGTTGCTAAATGCCATGACGAGCACCTCCTGGGAATGGGACACAATACATATATATCCCCACCCACTTTTTGGCCAGGGGAAAGGGCCTGCATTTTGATGGTGAGAAAAAGTTAACAGCGGATTTCTAACTCTGATAAACCCCACATTCCATTGTGACCAAAGGGAAGTTAGTGAACTTAACGAGAAGATTCGAGTGATGAGCACGAATCTGTAGCAGAAATTCTAGCTGTATATATATAACAACCCATTCAATCAAGTTGTAAATATTAGACATACCATTGATTTTCACTCTGAGAGACCTAATTAATCAATTGATGAAATGCTACTTTGAAATGTTTAATTGGCCGGACATTACCTGGTGTGCAGTGGAATATAGGTGCCCTTTAGAGGCCCTCTTAGTGCGAATCCTTGTACGGCATGTATTCTTGATGTGGCGTTTTGGAGTTTTTTTCGAATGGTTGGTACTCTGTAACAAAATTTCATTGGAATTCCGCGCTGAGGATCTGTTAACCAGTGTTGGTAAGGTCATCTTAGGTCCGAGGGATATAGCTATACCTACTCGAAATTTACGCCGGATTTTCTACTTCATTTATTTTTGGTGAAAAGTATTCAAACAGGTAACGAAATACTATCTCTTATGTGACATCTCGGGGAAGGTGTATATATTCTCGTGAGTCATTGGAAATCTTTGTACTGTCGGCTGCCTTGGAAAGACATTTTTACACAAGGATACCATGATTATGATGATTACAGAACGCGTTCGCACTTGTCTTAGCAGTGACTAGGCCCATGGCTACTTTTTTATGTAGGCCTATGTTCACTGTGCGATGTCGCAAATTTAGAACCATTTTTCCGATTGAAATTCATGTACTGAAATAGCCGTGTTTACAGTTTCCAGTTTTTTATTTATAGGCATGGTAGAGTTTCTAGGTAGGCCTAGACTTGGACCTGTAAACAGGGCCTGACAAATACTCCTCTGTTGTATTCTGGGCCCTGTCCCGATTCATAGGGATTTCTTTGGAAAAAGTTATTCGGGATATCTGGGGGCATAACTAAACATCCACTTGATTTTATGAGCTGAAATTGCACCGGTATGTTCACTACTTACGATGTAAACCATCCGCTAGGTTGTTAATTGTAGCAAACTCACCTTTTCCTCATTTGAGGGAAAAATGTTGCCTTTTTTTGCCGTTTTCCCACTCTGGACGAAGTTTGCCCCACTTGCACAAAAGCGACGGCTGTTTCGTCACTTTCGTATCACGTTACTGGACAGGGAACCAGCCAAGGGCGTTGCGTATTAGCTGCGACACAAAACAGCCCTAATTTTCTATGAGTACTTCTATCAACAGGTACTCTCACCGATCTGAATGAGATCTGTAGGTACAGGTCTGGGTACAAACTAGACACGGCTCTCGTACAGGTTACCATTACTGAACCATACAAAGGAGTCTGTGTAATGTACAAGTCAGGCGAAAATTCATACGGAGTGGGAAAATGGCAAAAAAGGCAACATTTTTTCCTCAAAACGAGGTAAAGGCGAGTTTTCTACAAGTAACAACCTAGTGGATTTTTTACAGCATAAGTAGTGAACATACTTGTGCAATTTCAGCTCGTAAAATTAAGCGGATGTTTAGTTATGCCCCCAGATGTCCCAGATAAAGTTTTCAAAAGAAATCCCTTTTAATCGGGACAGGGCCCAGTATACGACAGAGGAGTATTCGTTGGGCCCTGTTTACGGGTCTAGCCTAGACCAGACATGTTAGATTTACTTCCTGAATGGTAAGGACTAAGGTTCTAATATGACTAGTACTACTCTGTTCTGGAAGTAGGCTAGATTCATCAGGAAATACGGCTGTCCAAACAAAGCGGGTCAAACTAATAAAAAGTCAAAAATTCATTACTCATATCTAATACACTCAGATCATTGATCGATTAATGTAAAATTCTAAAAATTCACTACCCATATCTGATACACTCAGATCATTGATCGATTGATGTAAAATTTCAATTCTGAGAGTATCTTGAGGATTCCAATCAGCAAACCGAATTTCATTTCAATCCGTGATGGTCTGGTCCAAAGGCGTGTTGAATTGACTCAGAATGACCCCAGGCCCAAATTCTTCCATGGTTTGGTTTGTGTTATCATAGCTATGGTCTTGTGAATATAGAGATATATTTCCATAAGAATTTGCATGTACTCAAAATTACTCACTGCTTGATAAATTTCTTTGTCCTCAAAGCACTTACTGTACATGTTCAGTTGCTGTAACGGTACAGCAGCAAAAGTATATCTGGACTGGTTCACGGTCCAATATCCACCAACTTTAATATAATTTTTCAATTATGTTAAAAAATGCCAACACTTACGTGCATCATGTAGATGTAATGATACTATAAAAACAAATTAAAAACAGTACCAATTTGGAAAGAGTTCTTCCACTAGCATTCTTGAGTTTTAAGCACCAACAATGACCTAAAATTATTTTTACCCAAGAAAAACAGTTTCCCCTTCTACATTGGAGTAGAATTTATGTCTGATGGTTTGTATGTGGTGGCCAGATACAGAACTCTTTCTGTACAAACAAATTACCCTAAACTACAGCTTAAACACTTGTTTGAGTGTTGTACTATGGGAAGATCTATGTCCCAGCTGTGCATGCTGAACTCTGACGTTGGGAACTGACAATAAAAGTGTACTTCTGTCCATTTGACAGGTAATGGCATCCAATTTGCTGAGGGTGGTACGGCGACAGTTTTCAACGACACTGTTGCGGAGGGCTGAGACTGGGTTTGAATCCTCTGCCACTGCACCGGATGCCCACGGCTCGGCCAAAACCTGGAAGATGCTGACCTTCCTCTTGGCAGTGCCGGGTGTCTTGTTCTGCATGGTGAATGCCTACAAGGGGGAGATGGAGCACAAAGCCCACGCCCACCGAGAGGAGTTTGTAGCCTACCCGCACCTCCGCATCCGCAACAAGCCTTTCTTCTGGGGAGATGGGAACCACTCCTTGTTCCACAATTCCCACAACAATGCACTACCAGAGGGATACGAGGATGAAGAGTAGATGAAAAATCACTATAGCAGCATCACTTTAATTGAAAAGACTGTATTAATTGAGTTTTTCTGAGTGTTTACTGATTGCTCATAAGAAAAAATGGAAAGTGATGCAGACAAAAAGTAGCAATAGAAAAGAAGCAAAATTTGCACAGAAAAGTTCAAAACAACGTCTTCAGATTTTAGGCTCGAGACAGAAACGAGTGTTTTTTCAACAGGCATAATTTGATGGATTCAACAATGTTAACAGTGCTAGGGTTCAAATTGCTTGGGGATGTGAATGGGAATAATAATGCCATTATTTTGGTGTGTAGACAGGTGGTATGGTACCATGCTGATGCAGTGTGCATGTAGTACACGCACATTATAAGATGCCCCAAAATGAAAAAGGAAATGGAAACTTGTAGAAGATGAAGGATATTACTGAAAGGCACATACACGCATAGGCTTATTTCACATATTTACTTCCCTAGGTATATGTACATAGGAGTTTGTACGGTCACCAGGATAAATGTTCATGGCCACATTTGCAAAATTGAATCGTTTTTAACTGTTGGTATTTTTAAGCATGAGTGCTAATCATTAAACATGCTTGCTGCACTCCTGAACTCGCAGCAGTGCTTATCTCAGGATATGACTGAACGAGCCTCTGAATGTTTTGTTCCTGCAACAAGCAAGTACCCGTATGCCATAATGTACTTTGCCTACAGTTTATCCACTGTCATTTTTTGCCCAGTATTGTACTTTTCCTACATAGGAGTTCCTGGATTGAATTGATTCCAAACTGTTGTTCTTTTTTTTAATTTTACAGAAGAGTTTCATTCATTAGCATTGAGTTGTTGCTATGGCTTTCAAACTGCATTCAAAGCAGCGTTCACCTTTTCCTAAAATGAGATAAACTCTGAATTAAATTTGAGTGCTTGTTTGTGAAGTTTATCATGGGGGCCCTTTTGTGCATTGAAATGGCAGGGTCTAATACCCATCACCTCTGTGACTTCAACTGTATGCTAATGACAGTTGCAACCGTTTTACCCAAAATGCCCTCAGTGTGAACAGCCAACTGATTAATAAAATGTGTTTTAATCACAAACCTCTCTTTGTCACACATTTCCTTCACATTTGTGATGTCTGTTGTATATTTTCCATTTTCTATTCAACCACTTCTTTACGTCATTTTAAATGTAAGCAGTTTAAGGGTCAGATCCGTTTGCATTTCTTGGCAGATAAAGTTTACAGTTCTACAAGCTAACAGCCATTTGCCAAGTTTTTCTGTATGGTCTTGAAGAAATATTTACCTTACTTTCTGTTAAACCACACTTAACTTGCCTAACTTGCTATTGAGTTGGTTAACAGTTGTAAACTATTTGCCAACCTTTCCAGTTAGCTAACGGTCTGACTTGTCTAAATTTACACCGAGTCGACTGTTGGTTAGGAATAAACAATGGGTGTAACCATTTACACGGCTGCAATATGATAGTGGAGAATCATATTGCCTGACTCCTCATTGAGCGGTAGCTATAACGTGGTTATGAAAAGCAGTGCCAAATCGTACTGCCATGTACATGAACCTGTAGTAACTTGGCATGCTTACACATTTCTGCATTGACCACCATGATCCAGCCTGCTCAACCTGTCTGTGACCTCAATTAGCAGGAAATTATCTTTAGACATTAGGTGTTACTGTTATATAAATATATTTGAATTGTATCTGTCATAACTACGATGCTGGGACTGGCTTTTGTTTTCCCATTTGAAAAAGAAAGCCCAAAATCAATTAAAACATGGAAAAGAAATAATTTCTTTTTTGCATGTAGTTAATGAAAAAGGAAAGCAGTTTCTTTTGAATTCATTTTCAACCGGATTTCGTCTTGCATGACAAGAAGTTCAAAGTAGGCTAGGTTTTTCTACCTTGTTTATAATAATGTAGTTAGCCACCCTCTCCTTGAATGAGGTATTATGTCGAGTCTAGGATGTCTCGTCTGTTACTGTTATTTTTATTTTTATACGGTCAGCGTAAAAAAAGTTTTGCAAAAGTTGAGATCACTATGCAGAAAAAATGGGTAACTATGATTGATGATGCATGCGGGAAGAGAAATTGATTTATGCAAGCCCAGTAATTTTGCAGATAGTATCGTCAGCGCACTTTCTAAGACAGCTGCCAGTAGTTTGCTATTGGAATGTGAGAAATTTTGTTGTTGCTCCTTTTTCTTTGGAAGCAATGAATTCATGTAATTATCTATTGTAGCCGGCTACAATTGTGCATGACTGTCTTACATTACAAAATGAAAAATAGAACTGTTTTTATCCTTCAAAAAGTGCATCAATGGATTATTATGCTGTTTTCACGTTAAAAGTAAAACAGCAAATGATGGCCATTTTTGTTTTAAAAAAGTAAAACAAGAAACGAGGTAGTTTCTATGTTTATATTATTTTTTTCGCTTGAAATGGAAAAACCAGAAAGGTCTCATTTTCAGTATTTGGGTTTTTTTTTTTTCAAATAAACAACAAAAAAACCAACTCTATTCCAATTTTCTTTTCTCGTTTTCAAATTTAAGTGAAAAACAATGAATGAAACGAACCCGGAGCTTTATCCAACTAGCATTTGTGCTTTGCAATCTCCAATCTGGGCATGCCGGGGAATGTTGAGTATAGGCTTACATGATGTATGGTGCTACCAAAATGATTGTGAACTGTGCATTAAATACAGTGGTTTTGGTCTTAATCGGTCTTAATCATGTTTTCCCGTTCCAATGACCGCTGCTGTAAATTTGAGCTGGACGAGTAGGCTAGCTAGCGTTTGACTCAGAACTTTTGGGACATGAAGGTACAAATTCCATCTCATGACAATTAATTTGTCCGGTGGAAGTTTTCTGTGTTCCATGATTTACTTTATTGGTCTTTTAAAACCCCTCTTCCCTTATTATTTTATTTCACTTTCATTTATTTACTTGGGGGGGGGGCGCTTAAACCTGGTAAATTTAAACTCTAGCGGGCGCTCAGCGTCGTCGTCATTATATTTGTAGAACGAGAAAAGACTGGTACCCACAGTACAGACACTGGTAGTACAGACAGACGTACATGTACATGTACGTACGTGTACGTGGGGATGTTGCGGTATTTGCAATTGATTGACGGGATCTGGTGAAAACCAAACCCCGATCGTCTAGAGTTCGTCACTGCAGTTGATGAAGTTAATTGCATTTGCCATCACTTGTGCTGTGTGAGCTCGAATTTACAAAGGTAAGAGTCATTTTGATCATGTTGATAAGGAGGAACGTTACCACTCAGTCCCTTTTAAGTTTTGGAAACCCTAGTTTCGTGAAGTGTTTTTGTTTGTGCGTAGAGAATTAGAAATAGAGGTAGGCCTACCACTCGGCGGTAGGCTACATGTAGATCTAGAGCATCAGAGCAGTAGTACTAATACTTGGTAGCCCCACTAGTGTGGCACGGCCTACTAGTACTTGCATGTGAAATTAAGGCATACATTATTACCACGCAGAATTTTGTGTGGGTGAAGTGGCATTCGGGCAAAGTGGTAAATGGGCAAAGTGGCAAATGGGCAACGTGGTGCATGAACAAAGTGCCAAATGGGGGGAGTGGTTGTGGGCGAAGTGACCAACAGTGTAGATTAGCAATTTGGCATTTTGCAGTGCTGCAATGATGTAACATTGCAGCCTGTGAGAACTGAGTTGTGGCTTTGGTAAATATAGCCACCGTTTTTGTTAAAGTGTCTGCCTCGAGCGGAAGCACCTCCTTGTCGGCTGAACATGTTGAAAGCAGCCAAACTAGTCAGGAGCATTCATTTTTTGGCAGTGATGCGACCATAATGCATGCATTTCATAGTCGTTCGTGAACCAGCAAAGTTCAGTTCTGACCAAAGGAACCTCCATTGCTAAGAAAATTGCGCCCCCTCTTGGTCCAGCTCAAGGCTCATACTTTGACAGATCTGTTATTTCAATTCAGCTGCTATTAGCAATGAAGAATTGCACCTTTCATCATGCAGGAACTGCCCGGAAATATTTTCAGTTCTTCATCAACATGTGACTCATTCATGGAATCATGGCCAAGGCTGATTATGAGCTCGATCCTAAGCAGTACCAGCTGCTTAAAGCAGTAGGTAAGAGAAGACAATTTGATATGTAAAAGTGTGCTCCTGATAAATTTTTGAGAAAAATTCCCTATTCTTGGCCAAACTTGCAATGGAGATCGGTGTTGTTTGAAGTCACGACGCTCATACCGGTAAGCTCTGGTGTAATTAATGCAGCAACCATGTATTTGAAATTGATACTTGATTATATGCTTGGCTTCATTGTTCACATACACGTACAAATACCAAATCTCTCATTGCACTAATCAATGAGAAAACATTCTTGTTGTTTTTGTCGGTAAGACTTGCACTAAACTCCTATGTCATGTATGTACATTGTTCCTTCTAACTTTGTCTTGCTGTCATTCACAAGAGTTATGAACATGATGTTGAAGATTGTATGTATTTCAGGTGGGAGATCATCAAATGCTGGCATGCCATGTTTTATAGTCAGTAGAAATTCTTATGTCTCCCAGTTAACACGTTCCATGCCTTAAGTGTAATATTTTACATGTACATCTAAGTGTCAAACCATCTGTGGTCCAGTGATCTGTATTCTGTGTTAAGTTTGTACCATCAGATGCAATCCAGTCTGTGCTGGAACAAGAGGTGGCATGTAGGCTCTTGCACCTTTTGGTGCAGGACATGCTGTGCATGCCCGACTGATTTCCGTCAAACATTTATGTATGCGCAGTCCCACCAGCTTGTCTGTACTTTGCAGGGGAGGGGGCTTCAAATCAGAGCAGATACCACCATGAAAATTTGTTTTACTAACTTTGATGCCTGACATTGGCCAAGATTGACCAGCAGCCACGTTTTCCCTGTTTGCAGGCCAAGCCTATGATGGGACGGCCACAGTGTACCTAGCCAAGTTCCTACCGTCTCAGTCTTTTGTGGCTGTCAGTAGAACCAACCTGGATGCTGTCCACGAGGGTTTTTCAGTCCTTCAGGTACAACCTAACCTCCCCAAATCATCCACTTTTCATACAAATTTGCACACGCCCGTAAGGGGGTTAACGTTAAAAGCTAACTCACTTGAGCGAACTGGACAAGAGTTGCTCAAGTTGCCCTTCGATATGCCTTCACACAATTGTAAAGCCCCTCTTGACAGCCCTTGATAAAAGTTTCCAAGGCAAATCCAAATTGCAAAATGTTTCACATTGTTTATCCTTTTTTGTTGTTGTCTTTCACCACCAGCAAGAGTTTTACTTAATGCGTCTGATGCAGCATGAGAACATCTTGGCGTTCCACCAAGCATTCATCACAGATAATGAGTTATGGGTTGTCATGCCACTCATGGACCTAGGTAAAGCTAGCCGGCTTTATATCGAGAATGATTTTTTCTGTACACTTATATGTTCATGTATAACTCCTGCCAAATCTGGAGGTATGTTTGGGCAACATTCAAATGTTTCTTGTGCACATGAGGCTTGTAAGGGCTCTTGACATATACACTATAAAAAATACTATCACTTTTAACCAGTGTAACTGGTCAGCTAAATGGGATATAAATGTATGTGGGTCATACATGTACTTATATATTATAAAGAGTTCAGAAGTTCTGCTTTTTATGCATGGATTGGATCTCATATTTTCTATCTTGGTAAATGCAGATGGATATAGGGAACTATCAAAGTGAAAAAACGGGCCAGGAAGACCATCATTAAATCACCCGAAGTTTGTGAATCAAATAAAAAGCGTGTATCTCACTGAGTTGGACTGTTGGCAACAATTTGGGAAAGGCATTCCTGAAAGAGTTTCAAGAACATCTTGAAATATTTGCGGGGGTTCTCAGTTTCTTCGCTTGAGTTGCAGGGTCTTGCTTTCATGTCGCGGGAATTTTGAACATATTGAAACAATTTGTGGGACAGATCTTCTATCAAAATAGTCACAGTCGCCGCAGGTGTCTGGAACCCTTCTCAATTTAGTTTCCATGAGTCAGAAAGTGTGAGAAACATGAGACAACTTTGTGAGGGGTGTGGGCCTATGAAACAAAACTCTGATTGGTTGAAGATAAAAATGGGAATCTGATAATCCAGGTGTGAGACAGGCATAAATGTTGTGCTACAGTCACACGAGGTGTGTGAACCCCAGGTGAATTCTTGCCGAAATTTTGCTGAGAGCAAAACCAGTGTGGGTCCAAATGAAAATTGTTGCTAGATTCACAGATTTTCTCGCAATTGTGTGTCTCCAACTAGTCACAGAATGTCGCAGCCCAGTGAGATACGGGCTTAAGTGATATAATTTGGCTTGAGACATGATTGATTGTTCACTTATAAGCTTCTGTTATAGCAGGCATATAACTTGTAAAGATAGTGCAAAATATCTTTCCACGTTGTGTATTTTACTCAATACAAAAAACATGTCTGGTTCTTGTTAATGGCAGGACTTATGGAAATCACCTTTAAATGGCTGGAGCTGCTGAACTCAAAACCCTCCTATGATTTTATTCATTTACCAAAAAGCCGTTCTAAATATATTTGGCAGAAGAAACACCGTTGCATTAGAAAGAAATGGGAGGATCTAACCAGGTGAATGAAGCAACAGCTCTCAGCCAAAAGAGGATGTTTTGCATACATTTCCATTTTCTTCACACAAGGCTCTGCGAGAGATATCCTGGACCATACTTTCCCTGATGGAATGCCAGAGATGGCCATCGCGCACATCATTAGAGACATACTGATGGCACTGGACTACATACACAGAATGGGCTATGTCCACAGGTGAGCAGAGGACAGATCCTCTGGTCTCTTGTAGCAGCGTGAAGTTTTGTGCTGAAACCCTGGGTTGGACCAGTGGAATCAAATTTTTGTCAAATAACTAATACTCAGGCGCTAATTACAGTATGCAAAAGTTTAAATTGAACCTTCCTCACATTTTAAATAGTAATATCATTCAAAGTGTTGTTTTAGTGGTTTTAATGACTATGAAGTTTAATAAGTTGTTGTTTAAAAAGTTGCCTTAACAAATCCAAGCCTGTTTATAACTTAAGAAATATCTAAACAATTGGATAAACGTAGGTGTATATGCAAGAGTAGATTATCAAACACGTAAATTGGTTGACCGATACATATATGTACATGTACGTTTATATGCTTGATTATCTACATCATTAGGTGTATTTGTGTGTGGGTAAGTATATGTGTATGGTTAATTACCCAGTAAATTTAGCCTGTTCAGCAGGACTTTGCAATAATTTTGTTGGTAATGAAAATTAGGGTGATTCCAGAATAGTTTGGGCAGTCTGACTTTCCGTTTTGTTCTTGTATAACCCTTCACAAGGGTTAACATCCTATTCAATTGAAATTCAAATTCAATTCAATTTCTGATTGAACAACTGAGCAGCCTCAGCTGCTGGCAAATACTTCGACGTTTTTATGACACTGTAAGTGTCCAAAGATTAAGTCTTTTATGGAAATTTTATGGAAGAGGTCAGGTTGCTAGTGTGGTTCTCTGTCTTCGAGAAACATTCATGCCCTTGTTGAGAAAGGCTGCCTGTTTGCTAACCTTTAAAAAGCATATGTATGACATGGTTTACCTAGGAGCCTGAACGCCAGCCACATCCTCTTGTCCAAGGCCGGCAAAGTGGCACTGGCCGGCCTGCGCACAGCTGTCGGCATGATAAAAGATGGCAAGTGGCTGAGGGCGGTGCACGACTTCCCCAAGCAGGCTGTCAAGACCTTGCCTTGGCTGGCCCCGGAAGTCTTGGAACAGGTGAGGGTGTAACCCTAATCGTTCCACATCCTTCAACATTCACCTGGAGGTTTTCCAAGATGTTGGAGGGCAAGAGCAATAGTGCGTGTTGCAACAGAGAGAGTACATGTACATATACTTTTCACGGCATCTGTAAATTTCAACCTGTAATTGTTGGGAAATTAGGAGCTGTACCGTACAAGTGGGTGTGCTCCACTAGGCAAATGGTGAGAGCTTTCTGGTCTTTCGTGGTTTTTCAGGGCTGTTTCCACAGTGCTCTGACTCTCTGACTTACTCACATGCAGGGCTTGACTTTGACTATCATAACTAGTGTGCTGCCATTGTCTGCTCTGAGCAGAAAGGGGGGGTATTTTTTTTAGTGCAGGGGAACTTTGATTCTTTTGATGAGAACTCACTTTGTAAACATGCAGGTTTATGCATGTGTGGCGCAGGGCCTGTTGTGAGTATGCACACCCAGATTATGTTGGAATGTATGGTCTTCATCCATGTGCTGGGCGCATGCATATTCGAACCCAGTTGAAAACTTCCCACCAGCCTGTCATTACTTTGCCGATGAGGGTGCACTTGAACTCGGGGTAGATGCACCTTCACTTGTGCCCCATGAGAAAGTCGCAGTATCAAAGAGCCAGGTTGGTGACAATGACGTTTGTTTGTTCTCACTGTCTTTATTCCTTCAGAACCTTCTCGGCTACGACACCAAGTCAGACATCTACAGTATTGGAATCACGGCCTGTGAACTCGCCAACGGCTGTGTGCCATTTTGTGATATGGTCCCTATGAAGGTAAGGACAAATGCAGATAAAACATAACATCAAATTGTGCCCATCCCATGGTGGTTACCATTTCTTTGATAAAGTATGAAGTCACATTTTCTTATCAATTTGGTGTAACATGCATACTTTGTTGACTGTTGAAATGACAGCGTTCGTCATCAATTAAAATCTTGGAAAGACGGATGTAACACACTCCAGTGAAGTTTAAGAAAAAAAGTAGCTTAAAACTCGTCATAGCAACTTTTTTTTTCAAAATTAGCACAGTTGTATCACGCCACTGACAAGTGGATGTCAACTTATAATGCAGTTCACATTTTTGTGGGTCTTGCCCTTCCTTGTCTAGATGCTGCTGGAAAAGATCAATGGCACCACGCCTAAGCTCCTGGACAGCTCCACATTACTCAATGACGTGCACCAGGACGGGTCGGCGGTGTCCGGCAGCATCAGCAACGACGGGGAAGCATCGGGGCGCAAGCAGTCAGACCAGAACCCCTTCACCAGGCTCTTTTCGCCGCAGTTCCACCAGTTCATCGAAGACTGCTTGAGGCAAGAGCCGGCAGACAGGTGGGATATTACATCTTTGCCAGACACCAGCTCTTTAGAGTAGGATTGTCAAGCTTATTATTATATTCACTCCATGCCAGCACTCCACCCTGCAAGCCCCTGCAGTGTGGATATTTGGGATATGAAAAATAAATCATTTGCTCATTCCTTTATTACCTATGGAGACTTTTCCATAGAATCTTATCAGGAAATGGTAAACGTGCTAAGTTCGTTCTGGAATACCTGAGGAAGTATCTACCTTGCATGATAATCAGTACGATGAGTTTATAATGAACCTGTGATCTGACAAATGTGGTTTGAATCATGACCTTGCATGTGTTTGTCACTGTTCTGAGGTGGTCTCGTTTTATTCCTACTGCGCACATGGTCACATGGGAGAAAAGGTCTATATGACCTGCATGTGTACTGGTGACCATTGGAAACATTACGTGCAGGGTGTACACCCGTCTTATTTGATGTTCACAGCCGCACAAGTAAGTGCTTGGGTTACATTACCTAAATCCATCTTTGAACTGCTATAAACTATAACACAGGAATTATAATTTTACACAAAGATTACTTAGGGACTCCATGCATAGGTGCCTTGCAACTGTGACAGGAAAAAGGCATTGGAGACTCACTTGAGTGCAAATTTCAGCTGTGCAGATGTGCACATTTAGAGATGAAACTCAGTCAAGCATACTTTGTTCCCTGTAAGTTCAAATCAGACACACGGGCAAGGGACAGCTAGGATTTGTTTACAGTTTTGCACAAAGTCCAGAGTGCATCCAGACTATGAGTGCAAACTGGGGGACCTGCGTGGAAGCACAGTGGGGTGGGGGGGAGGGGGACGGTAGACCGGTAACACACAGCCTAAGTTGCGATGTCAGCTGTGCCGGAACATTTTGCATGGCAGGCCCAGCGCTTCTGCACTGCTGAACCACCCCTTCCTCAAGCAAGTCAAGAAACGAACCAGCGAGGCCTTAGCCCCCTTCCTGCAGTCCCTGACATCGCTCACCGAAATGCAGGCAGAGGAAGAGCAAGGTAGGTCCAAACCCAGGGTTCCCACGTTCATGGAAATCGTGAAAATCCTAGGAAAAACAGTGTACCGGAAAGTGTTGAAAACGTCATGGAAAATTTTGCAACCAAACATGGGATGTTCTGGAATCCTGTCGTGAAAGGAAAAAGGGTCACGGAAAAGTCATGGAAATCAAGATCGTCCAAAGGTTACTTTTGATGGGTTGTTATGATGCGATTATGAAATAACAATAAATTTACATGCTGTCCTTATCATTCTGTAGTAGTGGCTATGGCAGTCTTCCACTTCATAATACTAACATAATACCAACTGACATCCTCCTGCAAAATGGGGTTTATGTTATAGCAGTTATCATTGTTTGTTGTCGGACAGTCCTTGAAAAGTCCTGGAATATGGTTTTCAGATTTCTGTGGGAACCCTGAAACCTCATTTCTTTTTTTATGAAACTTAAAATTTGGCTTACCTTCAAATGCCAGTATAGAAAACTTTAAATGGGGATGTTGTTGGTGACCGTCTGCAATGGTGAACCTCATAGGACAAGGCACCATGTTTCATTGTATTCTTTCTGCACATGTGTGTAACTAAGCACACCCACTCATGTTAAGAGCAGGATTTGAGCAACAGATTTTCCCTCTGTTCTGTGGCAATGTCATACAAGCCCATATAGATTGCTTGTGATGTAATGAGAAACTGTAATTGACTTACGATGTACTGTGACGTACAACTGGGCAGTGATGAATTTTGTCTACCTCTTATGTGATTGGTCAATCTCCCATGTATACATGTGTTTACATGATGGGTTTACTTTTGTGTAGATTTGAATTGTCAAAGGCAATGTACATTTATGTGTAGCTTGACCTCAAACAAGACGTCTTCAGGTATACAATAGTTTGGTTTCTGATTACCATCATGAAGATGAGTGCAGCTATTGCATTGCTCTATATACTTGAAGTTATTCTCTGTGAAGTTGCTCCCACACGTACAATTACTTACATTGGTCATAATTTGTTTCTACCCTATCTTCAAGCTTCTTTCACTTCAAAAAAAACTTAGATTTACACTGAATTGCACATTTGTAACACTGAATTTGTAACAATGTGTGACGGCGATTCCCCAGATTTCCTTGTACGGGAAGTGCTGAAATATTGCAGTCGGGTTAATGCCATGTTTCAGGAGCTGTGGAAGGGCAAGACGGGGACCTGGTGGAGAAGTTCAAGTGCATGGACATGGGCGAGAGTTGGGTCTTTGATTAAAAGGCAACACCAGCTATCCTTTACGTTGTTGGACTTGACAAGGATGTCATTTTCCATACTTGTATTTGGAGCAACGTCCTGCAAGTACCTGTTGCTGTTTGTGTTGGACACGACGTGCATGTACGTGAAGGAATTCACATCCACCGAGATGTCAACTAAGCATGTAGGAAAGACAGACTACCCATTCAGTGCATTGGTTTTTACTGCTCTATAGATGTGTATACATGTGGAAACTGCAGGCCACTGTATTTTGGATTGTGAGAAGTGTGCAATGACTTTGTACATGTAAATAGCGCATATTCCCAACATGTAGAACTCCAAGACAGTGCATTCAGCATTCACCTTCGTGTACATAAATTGTTGGTTGCTTTACACTTATGAGTATGTGTACGTGTACTCAATATGTTGACAGAGTAGAAGAAGGGTAATTACAGTAAACTCCGGCTAAGTCGACATGGTACAACTCGGCAAATCGCTCAAGTCGGCAGTCTTACAATAGGCCAGATTGTCTCAAATGCCTGTCCATTAGAATTTTTGTTTCTAAGTTGGCTTTTATGAGTTGTCATTTCACCTAAGTCGGCATATTACTCTCGGTCCCGTTTTCAAAAACAGCACAACAAATTCCTTTGTGTACATGTAAGTCGGCATTTAAAAAATCCAGCATTGGCATTGACTTCCGCGCTGCGGTTGGCAAGCAGTGTCAGTGAAAAGTCACATTGCAACATCCGTTTATTGGCACGGTCCGTGATGGCTGCATTGGTGTTTATGTAGCTTAACAGTTAGGATATGTCCCAGCATTGCAGTGCTTGCACTGCTATCATGGACGGATCCCAGACCTTTCTCTGCCAACACGTGTACATCTTGAGGATATCACATGTACTTGCCATGTAAAATTGTATGGATTTTTCCTGCAGAAAGTATATGTATAAACGAGGGTACATGTAGGTGGAGTCAAAATTGATAATTTCTGCTTTCCATCGGCCCAAGCATGAGACAAGTTGCACTGCGAGCGCAATGTGGTGGAAGCGCGCGAGATGTATGACACACAGGTTCCTACCGCCAAAAATAGCAAGAATGGTATAGAATGGTCGGGAGCCAGTGATCTTCGTGACAACTCGAAGTACTGGTACATTTCAAACTTGGACACTCCGAAAACACGAAGCGATCAAAACTTCTGAAGTACTTCAGTGAATGAGTCAGTTCACAGAACTAGATTTCCCTTTCTGTACATGTGTATTTTCTGCTTTCACATATTTTGAAGGTTTTAGTGCAAGTATTAGCAGTGGTTCAGTGGAGCACGATGTTTTGCTCAAAATTTGCTGCGTTGTCGCCTGGCAAATTCCGCATTTACTGGTCCATGTACATGTATGTATGTATGCATATACTCCGTTTGCAATGATGGACTGCTGTGCTTCACAAAATCCAATCCATGTGTCAAAACTTTGGAGCATTTAAACCGTGTTACATGTACATGTTTTCATTGCATCTATTCCATCCTCCATGCGTGGACTACTAGAAGATATCTTGAGCCCTGCAACCCAATCACATATACTGGTACACTGTATGTACATTTACATAACTATGCACACATGTAGGTCATCATTTCATGTAATAAGTCAGCAAAATGACAACTTAAAGTAGAAGTCGCTCTTTGTGTAGGTCGTCAAATTTTGGGGTCCCGAGGGTGCCAACTTAGCCAGAGTTTACTGTACATTGCAAACTACCAGCAAAGGTTGGACTATGTCTTATTGTAATACATTGCATTTATGCCCAAGGTATCAATTCATCCCAGAAGCATTTAAAACACTTTTTTTCATTCTTTCTTCCTGATGGAGGTAGCTGAACTTTTTGTTTACATATTCCTTATCACATACAGTAAATGCATGGTTTAGAATAAGTAGATATACATGTGTATGTATGTGACCCGTCACGACAAAATGAACTTAAAGTTGCATTCCGCTCTTTCCTATTTTGACAGTTCAAAGTCAAATATTGAAGTGGAGGTCAATTTGGGGTTTGTAATTTTTGGAAATAGTAACCTGTCTCGTATTAAATTTAAATTTTTCGCTGGATCCTACATTAAAAAAATTCATTTTTTTCCACAAATTTTGATTGACAATAGCCTTATTTGTATCTGGGCTGAAAGGTTGAAACAGTGTCAGAAACAAAGATGCAAAGCTGCCAGAATAATGCACACTGTCGCCTTTATACTCCATAATGCACATGTACATACTATTGGAAAGCTCTTTTTCTGCAGAATTGAAAAAGCCTGTATACTGCATTATCTCAATTTTTGAAAATGACAGGTCACATGTCCTTGGTTGTTGTGCATGTAGAAAACATATTACAGCTCCAGAGCTCCTGTTCTTGAAATTTGTCACACTGATCAATTTCACCCCTTCTGAACTTCTTGTACTTGTTAATAAGGAAATAAGTATGTGGTTGGCCGGTCTGAAACATTAGTTTTAGACTGGCCAAGCACACATTTATTCCTATTCATAAATACCTTTTTATTCAGAGAGTCAAAAGAAGTCAACATGGATTTCCAACGGTTTGGTTCTAAAGTTTTAATTTTAGTTTCCTGAACACCCCCGTCCATTTTATGGTATATTCCTTTTGAGAGTTGTCCAGTAGAATCCCCTTCATTGAACTTGGCACGCACATGGCTCGACGCCTGCACACAGACTCTTGACCAATCAGACCTTATTAAACTGTCCGCCATCCATGGGCGAGTGCATGATTTATGCAGCGGGCATTATCGCTTCGCAGTGGGTATTATCAAATTTTTATACACGGTCACGTGACGTGTTTCGACCAATAATAATAGAAAAACTGTACCAGGTATTTATGAGTTCACTTTTCAGTAGTTTGCTTTAAATTGAACTTTACAAATGAGTTTTGGAGATAACTGTAAGTGTTCAGTTTGGTAATGTGAAGACAGTAATGTTCAATAAGAAAAAGGATGGAATTTGTCTTTATGGTGTGAAGGGGCACAATCTCAATAAGAGACTAACTTGAAAATGCTTGGTGGTGTTTTTGTACAGAAATGACAAGGCTACTATACATCAGCTCCCTGTGCATAGCTATTTCCATATTTTTTCTTTAAACAAAATTCAATGCCTTAGAGGATGGAGTCGTGCAAAGCATACATGTACATGTTTTTGTATTATAAGGTATACATTTGTACATGCTTGATATTGAGATGATTCATGGAAATGTGTAGTTTGTACATTGTAAAAGCTATACATGTAAAACTATTCACGTGTAAAGCACAGTGCATTGTACAGAGAGAATAGCCATGATAAACTTTGTGTAAATACTGTACTGCAGGAACATTCACTGGAAATACAAGTGCTGTGCATGCTCAAAAGTTGTCCTGTGTTACGTTTGAACAGCGCCCTCCCTCTGCCATTCTTGTCCAGACATGTCAGTCTCCTTTGCTAACCTTTGTCAGGTTATTATTCTGATGAAAGAAGTGATAATCCATCATTTGTCATAGTTATGTCACTTTCAAGGTACCGGTAGAATTCTCAATAATCCGGAGACTTAAGAAACACCCCCCGAGCAAGCGCAGTTTGCTAGGTTTTCATATGGCATAGGAAGATTCCCAGTGTATGAAGGAAAAAAAAGATCTCAAACTTAAAAACCTCTCAATTCTAATATCTTCCAAACTAAATCAAGTGCCCTCCAAAATGTATCGGGATCAGCGCAGAAGTCCATTGAAACCTCTGGAAATTGTTGGAGGACTTTGGACTGTTATGACTGAGAGTCTTTTATTGCTTCCTCATCTTTCCATCTGATGAAAGTCTTACTGTCTTGGACTCCTGGGATTTTTGTGGAGCCAGGTACACTTGTTAGGCGAGCTTTCCTGGCCACAGCTCAACTGAATGCCACTGTCTAGCATTTCCGTCGGTCATCATTCCCACTTGGGACGTAACTTTCGGGTCCATGTCCTTAAGTGGGAAGGCTTGAAGATTTCTAATGTGTTTTGTGTTTTCACTGCTTCGGGCAAATATGTCCATCAAAAAAACATTCTGCAGTGAGTGGAAAGTTTGGCTTTGACGTTTTCAATTAGAGTAATTTTCACTTGGGAATGATCCGTGCTCTGTGCCTGCACTTAAGTGCAAGAATCAACTGGCTGACCTACCACAGACACTTTTCCATAGACCAAACGTGTACACCTGCATAGACTGTAGTATACAAATAGTAGATCCAAATTGAAGGTTTATGTCTGGAAGAGAAGTCTATTGTTTCTCTAATGCAGGTTTTTGGTAGATTTGTCTGTATACACTTTTTATGACAGCAGAACATTTTAGTCATTCATACTCTACTGTGCGTTATACATCCACATTGCTTCAGTGCTCTTATTCAAACCCTCATACAGTAGCATATGTACCATAGTGTATGCATGCAAAAAACTGCAGGAGGATTATTTTCAAAATTCTGAAATAGTGAGCCTCATCCCATGTGATTTACAAATACAGTAGTCCTGCCCAAATACTTTATATGTACACATGTACATGTAGTTATGGTGAGCATTTAGCTTATTGAAATAGTGACTTGAACTACAAAAAAGCTGTAGTGGAAAGCCTGCTCCACCTGCATTATTTTATAGGGAACAGTTGATACCAATGATTGAATTGGAACTTGATGGCAAAGACTTACTCATTATTTTGCAGAGATTTATGCATGACTTTGGATGTTTATTTAACAGGCTTTCACAGGAATCTAAATTTATGTGGTTCCGCTCTAGCGCTCTCAATAGGGAATCAAAATTGCCTGGTGACACACTTTCAGGATGATGTGCCTGTATGTAAGAAGTTGACTTAAGCAAAGACAACACATTGTGTACTCAACAAGTGGCCTCCATGGACCCCGTGGCAAACCCTGTTGTGAATTCTTATAAGTCTACCATGTACTGCACTGGAATCATTTCATATGTATGGTAATAGGAAACTTTTCGAGGAGGCTTTTGGCCTATTTGCTGTTATTGATTTTTATTACATCAATGCTCTCTGCGATGCGGTGCAGTGCGGTACGGTGTGGTGCGGTGGGATTGGATGGGGTTGGGTTTGGGTTTTACGTTTCAGCTTTTTGGTTTTTAAACTCAAAACGAAAAGTGCTTTTGTTGTTTTGTTTTAGTTGGTTTTTGTTTAGTTTTGTTTTCCTTTGGATTTGTTTTGGGGAAAAATATTGAGAGGTTGGGGTTTAGGCTGGTGAGATTGCAGTGGGAAGTTGAAAAGGAGAACTTTCGAGATGTCCAGCACCATGGCTCATCAAACCAAGAGGAGGTATCAAGACTGCACACAGATTGTCATCTTGAAGGATGTGTGCTGTAGCTGTATGTGTGAAGAATTTTGCAACTACACGCTGTGTTCTTGAGAGAGAAACAGAACTCCCTTCAGTATTCCCGTGTACCACCATAGCACTACAAAATTGTTGAGAGTTCGGAGACCCTGAAGAATTGGCGCATAGCTTTGTCAGTCAGCTGACTGGAAGAAGTCATGGTGTTTACTGTTTTACCAACGGAGAGACCCTACAATGTCCAAACTCAAAACGGGCCTGTTCATGTGCATCGTGATAGATTGGAACCTTGGGGACACATGGAAGGTTGCAGCTACAGTGGAAGTGGTTACCACAGCAACCACCAAACCTGTCTGTGGTATCTGAAGACCAGCCTTTGATGTCACTACTGTATGTCACCGGATGTAGTTTTGTGTAAGGGGACACAACCAACGGTTCAAGAAAAGGTGAGCTTTGTCATTTCTCTATTTTTATAAATTTCAGTGTGTTTTTAAATCTACCATGAAAGCACCTCATTACCAACTTCTCAGTGGATAATGTTTTGTTCCCAAATATTGTGCATATGCCGTACATGTATGTACTCGTATATTGTCACAAATAAACAAGGTCATGATGTACATGTACATGTACAAATACGGAGCTGTATGTTATGCCATTGGTCATGGCACAGCCAGTTCATCAGAGATTTGTAGATTCCCCCTCCCCCAAAACCTTCTCTGCTCTGCCTCTTCTATATTATATGCAAAGTGAGGCTGTGTGTGCTGGGTACAGTGTTCGTACACCTTACAAGTAAATACACCTTCATGTGTACATGTGCTTGTAGATCATAAACCTTTTATTATAAGTTGCTTCTTTTCTTTGCTCTAATGGAATTCCAACTGTGATTAGGGTGATAATGCAAACAGCAAGGATGACTTTGCCTTGGAGGTAGTATTCTGCCCCAGGCCTAATGGTTGGTCTTCAGCCTTCACAGTTTTAATTAGCTTGGCCATTCATGGGACACACATCCGATAAGTAATTGGCATGGTTCTTTCTCTCTTCTTCTTTCTCCACTCTGTGGTGCAAGCCCTTGTTTCACACAGCCTTGCCGACCTGTCCTGTGATGTCCCCCAAGCGTGTAATATGGAATGCCTGGTGACCTCACACACACAGACACCAGCCGGCCAGTCAGTTCACTGATCTGCAGCCCTTGGATTTGCCTGTTGGCCTTACCTTGTCGGCGACCTTCACTGGATCACGTTCAAAGACCCGGTTCTCTGGCACTTGCCAGGGCTTGCCCTCGGTGCTTGCAACAGCTCCAGCAAGTATTGTTCAACATGACCTATTTTCACTGCTGACTGTTCTGTAGACATCATGCATTTTGCCAGGACTCAGTACTGCTCGGCAATAAGGTAAGAAATACCACTTTCTGTTCTTACACATTTATTTGTGCTAATTAAACTCTTACAGAAATACTCGTGGATCTGCGCACGTTTCTTGCAGGTCTGAGGAAATCCATGGAAAGAAGACTGTAAAGATATGTTCAGTTTAAGAGTTGGGAAGACAGTTGATATAAATTAAAAAGTCTGAAACCTACCTGTAGATATTTTGTCTCGCCTGGCTTGGGTATTTTACCTGAGGAATTTGATTCTGTAAGGTGCAGTTGAATACTGCGTGTACATTGTAAGCTTGTTTTTTCCCTTGTTCATGGTTTATCTACACGTGCTGGTACGGTGGGAATTAGCACACTTGTACTTAAAGGACACATAATCTTTTGAATTCAGCAAAAGTACATAAGCTCAACAATGCCAATTGTCCATAGGTCCTTGAAGTCAAAAATACCATTAGACTTCAAAATCCAGCAAATCATAAGGATTAAATTCTGGTACATCTGCTTATTGACCAGAATTCTCAGTCGTCCAATTTCATTTTACAGTATGTGATAAAACACGTACGATGTACTTAGCAGAATGGACACTTTCAGATTTCCAACAGTGCACCGGTAGCTACCGGTAGAATTGTGTGGCATCAAAATGATCCCTCAGTTAAGAGACTTCAAGTTGTTTTTGCATGTTTATAACAAATTGCTTTTTCTAAATGTTACACTCCCTGATTTGCGTAATGTTCTTAGCAGATTAGAAAGGTATGAGCATTTGGTGGTTTGGAAAAATGACAACTGCAAAAAGGCCTTTGTATATCGTAGTGAACAGACAATGTATGTGCATGTACATGTATGTACATATACACACATGTACATTGCAAGCATTGCACATGTACATGTGCATCTGATGGAAAAGGCCACTGTGTTCTTATTCCTCCATGATTGGACTGCATTGTGTAGGAGTGGATGATTTGATTTTATATCATTTCACATTCATTCATGCAAACCCACATTTATCTGTATGCTTTACTTTTTAAACTTCCCTTAGAACACACAGTATTCAAGCTGTAAATCAAGCACAACTTGAGAATTCTATAGTTAGGTGCATGCGAGTAATTAACCCTACACGAAGGTCACTTTTGCCAAGAAGGTTGTAATCCAACACTTTGCAGTAAGGGGGCAAATTCCGAGTGAAGAGTTGTTTGCTTATTTCATGTGTTTTCTTTTTTCTTTTTTTTTTGGCTTTTTGGGCTTGTTTTTTTATCCCTAAAACCCTTAAAGGGTTTGAAGATAAAACAGTTACTGTGCTTGTTTGGTGGACTCGTGCCAGACTCGGGCCGAATCCTCGAGTCTTTTGGCCCATGTCTGAGTCCAAGAAACGCAGTCTGATTTGGTTAAAAATTGGACTCTAGTTCTGCAACACTGCCTAGTACACGTGCTTATGTACTTGTATGTATCCATGTGTAAATGGGTTTCTTTCTGCATTCAATTGGGGACCCTGAACAATAGAGGGCAAGAAGATCCCCAATTGATGGAAAGTCCCGGATTGACAACTGTGTACAAAACATATGGGTGGTCTTCTAAAAAAGTTGGAGTAAAAACAAAAGAGGAACAATAGGGGGTCCCCAGTTGCAGGCAAGTACACACTTGTGTGTACATGTACTGGTACATACATGTACATTGTAGTCAGAGTAACCAGGACCATACTCCTTTTTGATGTGGTACATGTATTTGGATATGATTGAGCATTAGTAGTCCTACTCGCTTGATTGTATATTAAAAAACGATGATTTGGGGGTCCTGTAGTGACTTCAACTACATGTAATTATAACACCCATATTTGCATGGGTAGCATTAAAGGGTGCTGTCATCTCATGGTCGTACTGCATCACCATATGACAATCCATGTACCAAATGAATTTAGACCTACATGCACACTGTACATATATAGTGCTCAGTTAGTATGGAGAGGCATGCAGAGGCAAGAAAACTACATGTACATTGTCCCACCCCAAGGTCAGACCAGACTTCTATGCTTGCCCCCTGAAACACAAAATCTCCTGAGTTATGTTTGGGGAGCTGCGTTCAGGGGATGTGACGTGCCATTGTTGTCAAGAAGGTGCCTCTTGCTATTGTCAGGGGTTACACCTATTCTTGCCTTCCTGAAAGACTCGTAATGGGTGCGAGCTGCCTCGCTCCTGCCCCAGTTGAAAAGGAGTGTCCTTGATAATTAGGGTGGACAGCAATTACTGGGGATGAACCTTTACTTTATTCCCAAAACCCCCTTCCTTTTTCACAAGTGAGCATTGGGAACGTGACCAGGTAAGTGGATTGCTGTGTCATCTTTTTGTGAAATTGTGTGGTTGCACAAAATCTTGTGGAGTTCTGACTATTAGAGCTCACTAGTTACCTGCTTCCAGCGGTTTTCACTCCCTCCCCCAAACAAAGGTTGCAATGTTTTCTAGATTCGGAATCTCTCTTAACAGGCCAAAAAGATTCAGGATTGTTATTGTTTTAGCCATATCGTGCATGCTGTGCTTACTTTTTCTGGACCTGTGCGAGTCCACACATATTCAGAACCTGTTCTTTCTTCCCATCTTTCATTCTCACTACATGTACATGTATATCCACACAAGGAGTATCATGCTTGTTCATGTTTGCACCCACAAGTCTTTTAATGTATTTTTTCTGGTGTCATCCTTCCCTTGCAAAGGGAAGTTTCTGGTACTTTGAATGTGCGTACATGTACGTGGACTTACTTGTACATCCATGCATCTTGCACAGTCACACCTAGTAATTTGTCATTCAGACCAGTCCTGTAAAACACCAGGGATGCTTTGCCCGCCTCTGCCTTTGTCAAACACTCAAGGCTACAATTTGTTGTGAACCACCTACCCCTTAACCAGCTGATCCTACGAGAATGTTATTCACCACTTCTCCCCCACTTAACACACCCCCACTTCTATCAAACTCCCAAGGTTGCGCCGTCTGACTGTTTAACTGCAGCCCTTATATCCACTCACTTCAACTTTTTAAAGCACCGTCAAGACCCCTTCTGCATTCAGAACCTGTACGTGCTTCCTTTCAGATGACCCCCTCAAGCCCCATTATTTATTTGCTCCATTTGGCTGCTGCCTGTTCACCACTCATCTCGAGTCAGATACAATTATCCTTCTCCCGTTTAACCTCCACCCACCCACTGAAACTGGAACTCGTTAATATAGCGGCTTTTGATGCGACTCTGAAGCCTGTCCCCTCCCACTAATTAATGCATCAGCTTCCACCCACCCACCTTCTTCAAGGCCATCCAAGGCAACGTGCCCCGCCAAGGCCAGGGATGAAAAGCAAGGGGAAAAGCCCCCCTCCCCTTCAGCCTTACTCGATCCTCGTGAGAAACTAGGCATTAAATGAAGCAGGGTATATTTTCATCATACTGTGACAGCTTTTTTGTGTGGCATTTTGGGGATCTTTGTGTTCGGGCTAAAACCCTCAAACTGGACAGGCCATTTGTTGGATTCATAATAAACAATTTCTCATGGGGGGGGTGGAGTTGCTCCCAAGGCCAAAGATGTGAAATTAAGGACAAACATATTAAACATACTCAGTTAAAATGATAAAACCTGCAGGGCTGGACAGTAGAAGTACTTTGGATGTTTCTTGGCACTCAAATGCACGCATGTGAGACACTTTTTAAAAATTCACATTCACCTTGAAACAGAAATTAAAGACAACAAGACTTTGAAAAAAATTGAAATTTATTTAAATGTTTGAATTTTTGGTAAACTAATCTGGAGACATGTACATTGTTGAATCTTGACTGCACTGATGTAAACTTTACTGCATGCCTGAAATGTGTTGCCTGCTGGAAGGATGGTTCATATTCAAACATTCCAGTAATAATAAATGCGTAAGTCAATTTTGCTTTGCCTACTCCCAGTTACATGTACTTTTGCCAACCTACTGTAACTGTTAGCCCAGATTTTGTTAGTCAGCATCCACCACATGTACATGTATGTATGTACATACATGTACATGTATTTGTTCATGACTGCCAGTACATGTACAGTACATTGTACCTTACACGTGTACATGTGCAGTTATGCCCATCTCACTTGTGTACCACGCACTTGGCCCATTTTTTTCTCTGTGATTAAGAAATGAACAGCCACATTGTCAACATCATACATATAGCTGACAATAAATACATGTAACAGTCATCCAATTGGAGTACGGGTTTGACTTCAAGAAATAGTCTAACCACCTGGAAAAGGCATTTCACACTGAAATTTATTTTAGTGCCAGATGACAGCTGTTTTCAGTTTTTTCCTTGAAAGGCATCACACACTAGCACTGTCTTTCCTGCATCACTGCATTTCTGTGTCTTTAGATCTTGCTTGCTTTGAGCAGTCACCGCGACCACATGAAAACTAGTTTAAGGAGATCCCTCAGAAAAAAAGAATCAAAAGTCAAGTAAATTGGAGGGGGGGACATTCACTTTAGCCGATTTGGTCAGTTTTGGTGGTGTTTTTTTTAAGTTTGGGTGCTAAGTTGTTGGCGTAGGCTTTTCATGTGCAATAACTTTTTCCAAGTTACATGTACATGTACTGAGAAAATGAGTAATTTAAGCAATCGAAGGGCTGCAGATCATGCTACTCAAACCTGTACTACAGCCCCCTCTTGTGGTGAGCCTAGGCCAGATGAAAAGTATGTGGTTACCAAGTGCCAAGAGAGTACTTTTATGTACATGCACATACACTAGTAACTTCATCAAGTTTATTGTAGATTCTACCAGTATGTTTAATGTTTTTGGGGAAATGATTCTCACCAGTAATTCTACAAGATTAGAATACATGTGTGCTTCAAGTAATATACATTATAATGGCTAATATGTATACAGAAAGTCTGTGTTGGCACAAATTGTCTGGTAACAAGAGAATGCATCTACCGTACATGTGCATACATGCACACTAAAACCATAGCATTTAGAACTATTTTCTTAATGTAGGTTTTCCGGGCCAATTTTAGAAAATG